CAAAGAATACAAGGAACACAGCTTGTATTCTGAAAAAGGCAAGGAAATGGATTTTCCCGCAGAGCCTCCGGGAGCGCAGCCCTGCCAACACCTGGATTTCAGCCGGTGAAACTGATTTGGGACTTCTGACCTTCAGAACTGTATGAAAATAAATGTGTGTTGTTTTAAGCCACTGAGTTGGGGGTCATTTGTTACAGGAGCCACAGGAAATGAATATACCTCCCAATCAGGTGCAAGAATATATCTGCCTCACCTGATTTGGGTTTTTTCCATAACAATGATCAGCACCTGAGATATTACTTTTGCGCTTATTATTCTATTTATCGTCTGACTCTTTCACTAGAATATCAGCTAATATCTAGTATCACGGTCATTTTATAACTGTTTATTAGGGACAATTTCAAATGGACACAAAAGTTGAGAGAACCGTATGAAGACCCACATCCACCAAGCTTCATTGTCAAATGTGGACTGATCCTGCTTCATCTACACCCACATCACTCCCCCAGTCAACATTTTGAGGCAAATCCCAGACACCATATCATTTTATGATAGGTATTTCATAATAAATCTCTAAAAGTAAAGACTCCGTAAAAACATCACCACTCTATCATTAGCACACCTCCAACAAAAGTAGTAATCACTGATTAATTTCATTCAAAGGTCCAGACGGTGTTTGAATTCGAGGGCAGGGACTCCTGTCTCGTTTACTTCTTCTCCTTTGCTGTCTTATGTGGGCAAAAAGGACTTTGCAAACATGATTAAGTTTAAGGATCCTGAGATGGGGAGATCATCCTGGATTATCTGGTGGGACCTGTGTAAGCACAAGAGTCCCTATAAGTTAAAGAGGGAGTTAGGAGCCACGAGCCAAGGAATGCAGGCAACTTCTAGTAGCTGGAGAAGGCAAGGCGAGAGCTTCTTCCTTAGAGTTTCTAGAAGGGAGCTCAGCCCTGCCACCGCCTCCATGTTAGTTCCATGAGACCCATTTCAAATGCCTGACCTCCAGACTGTAAGATGATACATTTGTATTGTTGAAGCTTCCAAGCTTGTGATACTTTGTTATAGCAGTAATGGGAAACTAACACAGATTTTGCTCCTGGAAGCTGGGTGTCAATGCAACAAACACCTAAACATGTGGATTTGGAACTGGGCAATGGGCAGAGGCTGGAAGAATGTTGAGAAGATAATAGGAAAAGCCGCGATTGCCTTGAACAGACTGTTAGTAGAAGTATGGATGTTAACAATTCTGCTGGTGGGGACTCGGCAGGAAGTGAGGAGCAAGGTAGAGAAAACCTGTATCATCTCAGAGAATACCTAACTCATCATAAACAGACCGTTGGTAGAAATGCAGGCAGCCTCTAGAAACTGGAAAAGGAGGGCGCCTGGGTGGCTTAGTGGGTTAAGCGTCTGCCTTCAGCTCAGGTCATGATCTCAGGGTCATGGGATTGAGCCCCGCATCGGACTCCCCGTCTGCTTGTCCCTCTACCTCTGCTCCTTCCTGGGCTCACACTCTCCCCGCCCCTAAAATAAATAAATAAAACCTTAAAAAATAAATAAAATGCCAAGCCATGCGCAGAGCTGCTCCTTCCTTCCCTCTCTATTTATGCGGTAGTTTTCATGGATTTCTGGCCAGATGTCACAGATGAAGGCCAAGAAGTTATCCAGGATTTCATCCCTGTTCTGCTGGAAGTAGGTCTGGAGGATGGTCATCTTCTCCTGTGTCTCCTTCTCCACTCCACAGTACAGCTTCCTTGGCCTTGAACTTCTCTCTTTGCAGGCAATACTGTTCAGTTTCAGTCTGAGCTTCTTTGGTCTGCTTCAGCCTCCAGTTCTTTTGCTTGCAGGCCTCTGACACCTTCTCAGCCTCCCAATTCTCAGCCTACAGCAGTTGCTAGATACCCTGCCACTGGCTGGTCATGCTGGCAGCCACTCAGAGGCCAAGGTGAGGGGCCTAAATTGGCTCAATCACCCCCTCAGGTCCCCATTTCTGATTTCTGACCCCAAGAATTACAAGATAATAAATCTGTGTTATTTAAGCTACCATGTTCCTGGTAATTTGATAAGGCAATAATTGGAAACTAACATACCTCTGCTGTGAAAAAGAGTGATCAGACTGAATAAAGAAGCCCAGAAGAAACAAACATTATACAGAAAAAAACAAGAAAGCTTACAAAAGAATCACAAAACACCTGTAACTAAATACTTTGTGAAATACTTTGCAAGATAACACTAAATATCTGCATTTATAAAGTAAGGGCTGGAGGGTATGCCAAGAATGAATAATTAAGTAACAAGAAAGGTTCTTGGGAATTCAAAATTACAGATGACACTTAAATTTTAAGAGAAGGATTAAAGTCTAGGGAATCTAGAAAGTAAGGGGAAATTGACAAAGGACTGGAAAATAGTAGTGAAAACATAAGAAAATTGAAGGCTGACCTCAGAAGGTCCAACATCCAAATAATGAAGATTCCAGAAAAAAGGCAAGAAAATGAAGGGGAAGAAATCAGCACAGAAATATATAAGAAAATTTCCTGGAACCAAAGGGTAGGACTCTCCAGATCAAAAGGACAGACTTAAGGTCAGAATGACTAATGAATAAAGACTACAGTAAGGCGGGCGCCTGGGTGGCTCAGTTGGTTAAGCGACTGCCTTCGGCTCAGGTCATGATCCTGGAGTCCTGGGATCCAGTCCCACATCGGGCTCCCTGCTCAGCAGGGAGTCTGCTTCTCCCTCTGACCCTTCCCCCTCTCATGCTCTCTCTCTATCTCATTCTCTCTCTCAAATAAATAAATAAAATCTTTAAAAAAAAAAAAAGAAAAGAAAAAGACTACAGTAAGGCATATGAATGAATTTTCAGACCCAGAGAAAAAGGGAAGATTCCAAAATCCTCCAGAAAAAAAAGCCAAAAGGCCAAAAAGCTAAAAAAAAAAAAAAAAGGCAAGCTACTTAAAAAAAAAGTCAAGAGGCACCTGGGTGGCTTGGTTAAGTGTCCAACTCTTGATACTGGCTCAGGTCATGAGATCAAGCCCCACGCCAGGCTCCACGCTGAGTGTGGAGTCTATTTGAGACCCCCATCCACCCTCAGGCACACACGTTCTCTCCCTTAAAAAAAAAAAAAGTCAAATACAAGTTCAAAGGAAAGGAAAGGGAGAATGGAAACAAATCTAAGGGAAAAAAACAGCTTTCTCTTGTTCTCTAAACTTGCATTTCGGGCGCCTGGGTGGCTCAGTTGGTTAAGCGACTGCCTTCGGCTCAGGTCATGATCCCGGAGTCCGGGGATCGAGTCCCACATCGGACTCCCTGCTCAGCGGGGAGTCTGCTTCTCCCTCTAACCCTACCCCCTCTTGCGCTCTCTCTCTCTAATAAATAAATTTTAAAAATCTTTAAAAAAAATGTTTTAAATAAATAAATTTGCATTCCAACTCAGGGTGCAAACAGATTTGAATGAAAAAGGATACATATATTTCCAACCTAGAACTTTATACCCCACCCAAACTATAATAAAGTGGGAGGGTAGAATGAAGCTATATTTAGTTTTTAAGAACCCAAAAATATTTACCTCTTCTTCACCCTTTTAAGAGAACAACTGGAGGATGTGCTCCACCAAAATGAAGAGTCAACCAAGTAAGACAAAGACATGGGATCCAGGAAATAGTGTCCAACTCGGGGATATCCCAGGAAAGCTTAGCACAGGCCTAGAGAGCAGCAGGCCCAGATTAAAGTAAGAGAGAAGACTTCAAGAGGGAGGGAAAAAAAGAAACAAAGCTTGTGAACTGATAGGAGTATGGATGATCCCATGGAACATTTGAAAAATACATATAAAATTAAGCATGTGACAAAGGTAATTATTAATTCTCAAAAATTTGGAAGTTTGTATGAGAAAGAAAATGCTAGTATATTACAAGGCTCTACAGTAAAAACATTTACGTATCACACTGTAAAAACTATTGACTGATATAAAAATTATGACATGATTTCATTGGGAGAGGGAAAGTGGTGGCTGCATGAGCTCAAGCATCAGTAGAGAATGTCTACAATTGGCTATCAAGAAATAGCAGGTCAGGGGCACCTGGGTGGCTCAGTCATTTAGCATCTGCCTTCGGCTGAGGTCATGATCCCAGGGTCCTGGGATCGAGCCCCACATAGGGCTCCCTGCTCCGCGGGAAGCCTGCTTCTCCCTCTCCCACTCCCCCTGCTTGTGTTCCCTCTCTCGCCGTGTCTCTGTCAAATAAATAAAATCTTAAAAAAAAAAAAAAAGAAAGAAATACACAGAGGAGATATATGCCTGTGCTTTACCAAAAATCAGTTTACACAATAAAGAAGTGGGGCAGAAGCAAAGGAAAGTCACTCTTCAGGGTCATACCCTCAACAAGGCCACCTGGATTTCAGGAAGATAAAGCCTTGTCCAAGACGGTCTCCCAATCCATGATTTCAACACACACGAGGAAAAAATCCACCATGAGTGAGAACCAGCAGACACAGCAAATTATAAAAGTAGATGGCCCCAAACTTCAGATGATAGAATTATCATACATATACTATAAGATAAGCTTAAAATGTTTAAAGACATAAAGAATCCAAAACATGAAAAAAGATCAAGACACTACCAAAAAAACAAAAAACTCTCCTCCCATAAAAAAAAAAAAACACAAAAAACAGGTGTGTTTGGAAGAGGAAGTATTGGATTTACATGACAGAAATCCCTTAGAAAGGGGCTTCCTTAAAACTGGTTTGTCGTGGGGCGCCTGGGTGGCTCAGTTGGTTAAGCGACTGCTTTCGGCTCAGGTCATGATCCTGGAGTCCCTGGATCGAGTCCCGCGTCAGGCTCCCTGCTTGGCGGGGAGTCTGCTTCTCCCTCTGACCCTCCCCCCTCTCATGCTCTCTCTCTATCTCATTCTCTCTCTCAAATAAATAAATAAAATCTTTAAAAAAAAAAAAAAAACTGGTTTGTCGAACTCCGAACTCATAAGGGTGACGAGCACTTATTAGGTCAGAGGGGGATCCAAAGAGAGGGAAGTCAATTTTGGTGCAAACTACCTTTATTTATAAGGGAAAATGTCCCCATTTGGTTATAAAACCAGCACTGGGTGAAGGCACTTGACTGGGGAGAGCTGGGAGACCAGTGTGTCTCACCCAGCCCTGGAGAGATGGGGGCAGAGGTGACTCCCAGGGAAATCCAGTGGAGGTGACACATCCCAGGCTCCCCTAGGATGGTGTGTTGGCTTGTTTTGAAGGGGTGGGAGGGGTTGGCAGTAGGAGTGGGAGGCACTTTGGACGGGATCTGATTTGGCAAATGGAGGAAGATGGGGGGAGTCTCTTGCCTCCAATGATTCCCAGCTTCAAGGTGATCTCCCATGGCTAAGGCAGTTTCTAAATGCAAGGCTGAGCTTCTCCTTCTCCTTGGGCTTCCAGGGAAGCAGAGAGCTGGAGGTGAGGACCCCAACCCTGTAGGCTTGGGGCCCAAGGAGATGCAGCAGTTACTGAGGGAGAGGTCTGGGGCAAAGGCAAGGCTGCTCCCTCCTGCCTCCCTTGGCAACGTCCTTCTGTGCAGCTAGACCTTATTCCTCTGAGTCTTCACCCTGGGAAAGAGCTGAGGGAAGGCAGGATCTTTAGACGCCAGGAACTCTCACTCTTTCATCCCACCCCCAACTTTAATGGAGTCACCTAATCCACCCCCAAATAGGTGGGCTGTTTCCATCCTCCCCTCCCTTCCTAACAGACTCCTTCAGCTGACTCCCAAATCACTCCAGAATCCCCAAGGCCCCTGTCACAACCAAGCACCACATGGAGCCTTAGACTCAGCAGCCCAGTTGATGAAATTGAGTTTTCCAAGTCTTCCATACTGCCATGAAAGAAACACCTGCTTCTCCCTACCACCATGACTGTCTCGTTGAGACCCACCGCCGCCCATCCCCAAACTAAAAGAATCTTCTCCCCTAGGAATATAATGGGATCTTCTGGTCTCTTCCCTTAACCTAGTACAACCTCCCTCAATTCTACCATCATTTTAATAATGGATTCCTCCTCTCCCTGCCCCCTGCAGTGTAACATAGGTTCCTCACCACTACACCAGTAATACACAATTCTTTAACTTCCCCTCGGTTACTAAAATGGGATTCTTCACGGCTTCCCTTGGCTAAAATACATTCTTCCTTGCTTCCCCAGTAATATAACTAGGGATGATAAAAAATATTTGACTGAGCATGAACCCATCAAATAACTAGTAAGGCAGTGAGTTCCCCACAAAGTACCACCAGGAAGGGGCTCTTTCTCCCCCAACTGTAAGGTCCTCATCTCCCCACAACCCATAATGGATTCTTCTGACCTCCCTTTCCCCCAGTGTGGACTGTCCCTTTTGCTCCTCTTTTTCCCAGAATCAACCCCTTTCCCCAAATAGCCCCAGGACGCTGTTACAATATATATCTCTTCCAGGCTCACCCCGAAGTAGTTACGGGGTACATAGCCCTCCTGGCCATGTAGAGAGGCCCACCACCAGTCCGTCTCCTCGGGTCCGTCCCTCCGCAGCACGGTGACTGACTCGCCCTCGCGGAAGGACAGCTCGTCCCCAAACTCCGCGCTGTAGTCCCAGAGGGCATACACCACCCCGTTGTGCATCAGCCCCATGCTCTGCTCCACATCTGAAACATAAACGGGCAGAGATTGTGAACACCCGGTTGGGGGTGGGGGGTGGAGGGGTTAGAACACTCAGGGACACAAGACACGCTGAGGACAGGGACAGGCCCTGGGATGTGGCATCCCACCCACACATACACACAGCTGAGGGATGAGCCACCTGCAAAGGTGTGTACCCCTGTCTGGAGAGGGGTGCCAAAGCTGGAGTCACCTGCCAGGGACTGGCAGTCTCTGGAATTCGAGAACATCAGGGTGCATCAAACTTGGGCCTCCAACCCCCGAGGCAGGGTCAGTGGTCCCCATCCCCTCATGGACATCATCCAGTCCCTGTGTCACTCCCAGAGGTGCGGTCGGCTGCATACCGCCTCCCCCGGCCCCCCAAGCTGTACAGTTTCTAATCTCAACCCCTCCTTCCGATGGTACAGCCCTTCCCCGCCTCCCCCTAAGTGCTCCCCCCTCCCCCTTCCCAGATGGTGAATCCACATTGCTTCCCCCTCCCCAAGTGACAAAATCTCCAGAGGATGCAATAACTTCTCCAGAGGGTACAGCCCATCCCCCACCCCCGCCCCGTTAAGTGGTAATATTTCCATCAAGAATTTAGCCCCTCACCCTTCCAAATGGTACAGTCCACCCTGTTCCCTCTCTCCAGTGGTTTTAGTCCACCGGGTTCCGGTTCCTGCTCCCTTCCCAGCCAGGTCGGGTGTCCAACCTCTACTTGACCCTCACAGAACTCTCCATGTCGGAGGCAGACAGAACAGTCCAAGCTCCACATCTCATAGGCTCCCCCTCCCTATACAAATGTGTAAGGGCCCAATGCCCCTCCCCGAAGCTTACAGTCTATTTCGTGCCCCAGTGGTGCAGTCCCTGTCTACCCCTGCTCACCCAGAAGCCCCAAGGCTCTCGTCCAGTTCCTGCCATTAGGTGGCACAGCAGGCTCTTGTGTGGCCCTAGAACATTGTCCCCCCCACCGCGATCCTAGAGCCTAACTCACTCCAGCTCTGTGATGTTCCTAACCCCACCCTATGATACAGTTTGCCCACCCACCCCAGGTGTGTAATACGGACAAGCCCTTGGTACAGGCTACCTACTTCCTCCCATCACCTGGTTAGGTGATCTGCTCCCTCCCCCCATAAGGGAAGCCTCGTGTATCCCCTCAAGTGGAAGAGTCCCCAAGCCCCTCCCCAGAAGCCATGGCCTGCTACCCTGCCAGGTGTGTGGCCCTGTGTCTCCCACACGGAGCACGGCCCACCTGCCCAGCCCTATGCCTGGTAAGTGCTATCAATGGAACGGCCAACTCCCCACGCCCGCAGGTGAGAAAGCAGGGGAACAGTGCAATCTCCCAAGACCTCTCTTCTCCCTACAGGTGTCCAGTTTGCATGGCACAGTGCCCGTTCCCCCCATCCCTCGAGGTCGGCAGTCTGCTCACCCCACACAGCCCGCTTGCACCTGCCAGCTGGGACGCCCTGTCCCCCTCCCCCGCAGGTGGTCCATCCCGCCGCCCTTCCTCTGTGATCCTGCCACTTGATTGGTACAGCCCCCGCGTCCTCTCTCCCGCGACCCGCAATCTGCCGCCTCCCTCTCCGCAACTGCCAGCTGGGCGGCCCAGTCCCCACGACCTCCTCCCTCCCCCAGAGGCGTGCCTCGCACCTGCCAGGTAAGTGGCGCAGTCAGCGTAACCCTCGCGGTAGGGGTCGCACTTCTCGATGGCGGTGGCTCCGTCACTGAGCGTGGTGGCGAAGATTGCTGCGCCATGCTGCACCAGCGCCGTGCAGATGGCCGTGTCGTTGCACGACGCCGCGCAGTGCAACGGTGTCCTAGGCGTGGAGGCGTGCGTGGGTGGCCGCGCATTCGCCCGCTGGTGCCCCGCCGCCCCGCCCCGCCGCCCCGCCGCCCCGCCCCGCGCCCCGCCCCGCGCGGGTCAGGGTCAGAGCTCACCAGCCGTGGCTGTCGGGGGAGTTGACGTTGGCGCCGGCCGCGATGAGGAAGTCCACGATGGGGTAATTGGCGCCGCAGATGGCGTTGTGCAGGGCGGTGATGCCCTCCTCGTTGGGCTGGCTCGGGTCGTTCATCTGGGTGGGAGGGGGACGCGGAGGCTCAGTCCCCAGCGGCGGCCATCCCGCGTCCGCCGCCACCCCCCGCCCCCCCGCGCCTGCCCTGCGCTTTGGCAGCGCGCACCTCCTTCACCGCCTGCTGCACCACGTCCAGCTCCCCGGTCAGCGCGGCGTCCAGCAGGAGCACAAGCGGGTTGAGGCGCGCGCGGCGGACCTTGCGCGGGGAGCCCGCCTTCCGCAGCACCGAGCGCATCTCCTGGGGGGACAGGGCAGGGGGTGGGGGTGGGCTTCAGTGACTTGGGGGGATCGTTAATATACCCATTACTTACAGAGGAAAACAGAGGTTCAGGGACCCGGCGGCAGCCGCCCCAGTTCAACCAACTAGGCAGAGGTAGGGCTGGGATTGGAAGGCAGGGAAGTACAGAGCCTGAGTCCAGACGGCCATGGGGAAGGGGATGCCTTAGTTCTATAGCCTTTGATTACTTACGACAGTCAGGGAATCTGGTGAGTATAGGATCTTGGCCCCTGAGACCTGAAAGGAACCTGATGAGTTGATGATTCATAGAAGCCAGATTATTCAACCCGTCCTCAGTCTTACTGCTTTTATAAAACATAAATACTATGAAACACACACGACAAACTGTGATTCTATAAGGTGATTTCATTCTTCTGTTCTTGATTTCAAGATCCTGGATCTCAACATTTCCTGGCTCCAACTTTAGGAGGGCTTGGGAATAGGCATTTTGGGTGTCAGTACCTGGCCCCTGCTTCTTCTGGAATGTTAATTCCAGATGTATGGAATGAGATTATTTAGCCTATTATTCCTTGTGTTTTCTTTCTTTCTTTTTTAATTTCTTGTGTTTTCTTATTTTTGATGTTCATGGGTCCTCCTACCAGATTCATTTATTCGGAGCATGTAGCATTTTTGTGATTCTGGTCTTTGATGTCGATGATTTCAAGATCCCGGAATTTGAAGATCCCAAGAGCCATGGATTTCAAAATTCTCTGAGGTTCAGCTATTTCAAATTTCCAATATTGTTGTGAGTCCAGGAATGCTAAGTTATGCCATGTCAAATTGCTGAAGACCCAAGATGCTGCATTCCCAAGATTCTATGATTGGGAACTTTAATGTTTTATGGTTAGAATTTCATTCCGGCAGATTGGAAGGAGATACTTAAAATGTTAATCATGGTTCTGAGTGCCGTGATTTTTGGCCTCTTTATTCTTTTTTTCTATTTCCTCCTAGTTACTATGGTGTTTGTGTATTCTTTTCTAGTGGAAAATGTTCATTTACAATACAATTCTGGTTGGCACAGTTGGTACAGCATGAGATTCTTGATCTTAGGGCTGTGAGTTCAAGCCCCATGATGGGTGTAGAGATTACTTAAAAAAAATAATCTTTAAAAAAATAATAAAACTTGGGCGCCTGGGTGGCTCAGTTGGTTAAGCGACTGCCTTTGGCTCAGGTCATGATCCTGGAGTCCCGGGATCGAGTCCCGCATCAGGCTCCCTGCTCAGCAGGGAGTCTGCTTCTCCCTCTGACCCTCCCCCCTCTCATGCTCTCTCTATCTCATTCTCTCTCTCAAATAAATAAAATCTTTTTAAAAAATAATAAAACAGAATTCTGTATTTCAACATATTAGTGCACTAATCTGTAATTTTCAGATTCAAATGAGAAGAGTCTTTAATTTTCAGTTTTGGTGACTTCACAGATCACTTAATAACCACAGTCGGTGTTACTAACTTTTAAATTCTAAGATCCTGTTCTTTGAAACTCCGGCTCTTCAGGATTCTGAAGGTTCACTGCTCTGAGACTGAGAACAGGATTTAATTCTTGAATTCTGTGAATTTTCAAGTTTCTTTATGGCCAGGACTTTGTGATTCTATAAGGTGATTTCATTCTTCTGTTCTTGATTTCAAGATCCTGGGTCTCAACATTTCCTGGCTCCAACTTTAGGAGGGCTTGGGAATAGGCATTTTGGGTGTCAGTACCTGGCCCCTGCTTCTTCCCTGGAAATTGTTCACCTCTCTCCGTCCATCCACACCGAGAGAACAGGACTGTTCCATAGACACCACCCACCCCCAGCCAAGACACAGGGACTGGAGCAAGTTTAGAAGGCGACCACCCCCTGGTCAAATGCTAACAATAATAATAGTGGTTAACAATTAAGCGCCAAGCACTATTCTGAGCACTATATTCATATACTTAATGTTCACAGCAATCCTACGGTTATTCTCATCCCCATTTTACAGATGAAGACACCGAGGCCCAGAGCGGCTAAGTGTCTTGCACAACAAGGTCGCACAGCTGATGCATGCCATGCAGCTGGGATATGAACCAGGCAGCCTAGTTCTGCAGCTGGTGCCCTTTATCACAACGCCCACAGCCTCAGAGGTCAGAGACTTGCTCTTGCAATTCTGAATGAAAGCAGCTCTGAACAGCACCAGAGGACACCATGGGCCTGAAGTGAGAGGTCATTTTGAGTCGCCACTTCTAGCCATGGCACAGGCTTGCTGAGGTCTGAGGGGAGGGAGCGATCCCCAGAGAAGGCAGACATGAGAGACCGTGCAGCAGCTGGGGAGAGAAATGGTGACTGTCTCGATTCAGGCAGGCTTTTCAGGTCCTGGAAGAAACCCACTGACACACTCATTTCCAGGTGGTAAGACTCCAAGATTCCTGAAGAGATGCCCTTGAGGGCTGGTTATTGGGGGGGGCGGGGAGAGCAGAGAGAGTCTCTGTGTGGCCAAGACTTGTGAATGCCTCTCCCTAGACATTCTCCCTGTCTTCAGAACCCAGGCAACACCTAGATTAAAAAGACTACATTTCCCAGCCTCCCTTGCAGCCAGGTTCCTGACCCATTGGAAGAGGCAGATGTGATGGGTGCAATTTCCAGGTCCTGTCCTAAAAGGGAAGGGGCGCTTCCATGTGCTAATAGAGCCCCGTGTGCTCCTGTATTACGTACCATGCTCTGCAGCTGCTCTGGTGGGCTGATCTGGGGCAGGGGCAGGGGTGGGATGAGAGCCGGTGGGGCAGGAGCAGGGGGCCCTGCCCTCGCTTCGGATCCCTCACTGATGGGCGACAGTTCGGGCTCAGGCCCCCCAGGCCCGCCGTGACGATGGAAGAGGCGGCTGATGATCTGCTGGTACTGCTTCTTGTGGGTGGGGGGCAGGGCTACCGCCGGGCTCTGCTCCATGGAGCCCCTCCGTTTGAGGGGCCGCGGTATCTCCGCCAGCACTCGCGCCACCTCCTCCAGCTCGGGCACTGACTGAGCCTCGGGGGGCAGTGCCGGCTGCAGCCTCGTGGGGCTCAGGGGCCGGGTTACGGCGCCTTCATCTGCGTCACCAGCCTCCAGCACTGGCGGTAGCAGCCCCTCGAGCTCCGGCTCGGGCTCCAGCTCAGGGGGAGGCTTGGGCAGGCCTAGAAGGAACAAGGAGCCCATCAGAGAATGGGTCCCTGGGAGAACCCCAAGACTCCCCTCTCCAAGTCCACAACTTCCTGACCCGTAGCCAGCATCCGATTTGCTGTGTGACCTCAGGGCAGTTCCTTGCTCTCTCTGTGCTACTTTCCATGGGCTGTGAATAATATATGATTGTGACGTCTCCCATTCATCAAGCACTTAGCACGTGCCTGCCTTACTGAATTCTCACCACTACCTTGTGAGGGAGCTACTGCTATCACTTCCTTATTACAGACAGGGAAGCTGAGCGTCAGAGAGCGGAAGTCAGAGAGGGGAAGTCAGTTGCCCAAAGCCAATGCGATTTGCACTCTGGTCCCCCTGACTTCTGAATCTTGTGCTCCTCCCATCAGATTGCCTTGACTTGCTGATATTCTTTTTTTAAAGATTTTATTTATTTCTTTGACAGAGAGAGACACAGCGAGAGAGGGAATACAAGCAGGGGGAGAGGGAGAGGGAGAAGCAGGCTTCCCGTGGAGCAGGGAGCCTGATGCGGGGCTCGATCCCAGGACCCTGAGATCATGATCTGAGCCGAAGGCAGACGCTTAACCAACGGAGCCACCCAGGTGCCCCACTTGCTGAGATTCTAAGAACTTCCTTGCCTACCCTCTCAGGCAGAATACTCTTGCTGGGGGGCGCCTGGGTGGCTCAGTCGTTAAGCACCTGCCTTCGGCTCAGGTCATGATCCCAGGCTTCTGGGATCGAGCCCCACATCGGGCTCCCTGCTCAGCAGGAAGCCTGCTTCTCCCTCTCCCACTCCCCCTGCTTGTGTTCCCTCTCTCACTGTGTCTCTATCAAATAAATAAATAAAATCTTAAAAAAAAAAAAAGAATACTCTTGCTGGGACTAGAGTCCTGGTGCCTGATGGTCTCTTGGTCTTATTTCTCTCTATCAGAGCTTCTAAAGCAGGTAAAAACAGTAATGATCACTCTCTACACAAGTTATTTCATTGAATGTTCCTCACAATCTATGAGGTAGATATTATTAATCTCTTTTCACAGATGACAAAACAGAAGTTCAGATAGGTTAGCTAATTTATCCTGAGTCATACAGCAAGTCAGCGGTGGAGAGGGGCTCAAAACCCATTTTGTTTTAACTCTAGGCCCTGTGCTGGTCTCACGCACACAAACATATTAATAATTGTTATAACCAATATAATAGCTATTGAGATCTTCCTACACGTCGGACCCTACTTCAACGACTTTATATGGATTAAATAATCTAATACCATAATCAGTAAGACGGGCTCTATCACCTTTTACACTCAAGGAAACTGAGGTCCAGAGAGGTTAAGTGACTTGTCCAAGGTCACACAGCATGGAGCCAGGCAGTCTGATTCAGGGTCCATGCTTAACCACCGTGCTATACCTAGCTCCTGAGCAAATTCCCAAGCTCCTGTAGCCTTGCTCTCTACAGGGACAATGTCTGGCTGTGATGGCTCCCCCAGCTGTTCTGGTCCCCAGCCATTTGTCCTCCCTCTAAGCAGCCCTCTGGGCCCCCCAGTGCTGACTCACCTTCGCTCACAGGGGGCCAAGTCTGTTGGGGAGGTTGCGGGGCAGGGGGTTGAAGCTGGGGAGGAAGCTGGGGCTGAGGGGGCAGCTGGGGCTGAGGAGGTGCCTGGGGCTGGGGAGGCAGCTTAGGTGGTGGTGCTCGGGAGAAGATGGGGGAGCCAGGGAGCATGGCCCTGCTGGCCCCATGCTCCCAGAAGGCATTCTGCAGCTTGAATATCATGCTGAGGGGGATGGGGCGCTGGCGCGGGGCACCGCGGGGCTGGGGGCTGGAAGGGGGCATGGGGATGCGGCTGACAGGCTGCCAGCTGCGGGGCAAAGTGCCTGATGGCCCCGCGGAGCCCAGCGATCTGCGGTAGCTGCCCACATCAGATCGCCTGTCGTTGGCCAGAGGCGAGACCTTGTAATTGCGGGGCAGAGTGGCGCTGGTGAGGTTGTCCTGGGGGAGAAAGAGGGAAGGAGGAAAGAAGGGGCTCAGGTGGGAGGAAGTTAGGCAGAGGGAATGATAAAGGAGGAGGGGGAAGGAGGTAAGGACAAAAGGTCAAGAAGGGAGAGAAGGTGAGGGAAACCAGAGGGAGTGAGGCAAAGGGAGTCAGGGAGGGGGTGGAAATCTAGGATAAAAAAGGAAGAGCCTGGGGTGGAGGGCACGGAGACTGGGGGTGCAGCCAGGAATGGGAGGTGGTCCTGACCGCACTGCCGGCCCCTGCCCACCAGCCTCCTCCCCAGCCACCCCTCACCTTGCTGGTGGCCCCCAGCCCATCCAGGCTGCTCTCTCTCCAGGGTAACAGCTGCAGGCCTGGCGAAGCAGGCCGCGAGAAGACGTCCAGGCCTGCGAGGCGGGAATCATTAGGGTCTGGGGGCTGCCTCTCCTGGCTCCCCCCCCCCCCCGCCCCCAGCCTCCTACCACTCACGTTCGTAGCTCGCTGTCTGTGAAGGTTTCTTCTCGTATGCCACGTCCAGGTCAGACTCATTCCAGGCTTTGGGGGGCCGCCGGCGCAGCGTTAAGTCGTCTAGGGAGAGGTGGCGAATCGGGATGTACCGGGAGACTGGTCCCAGGCCTGCATCCTTCCCACCCCCCCAAAGGAGGCCCCCTCGTTCACCTTGAGCGCGCAGAGGTGGGGCGAAAGCGCTACCGCCCGCGCCCAGGAGGGGGCTCCCAAAGGCCACTGGCGCATCGTAGGCTGAAGTCTGGGGGCGTGGCGAGGGCCCGCGCTCGGGGAAGAAGGCCTGGGGCCCCTCGGCCAGGGGGCTGCCCCGCGGGGAACCAGCGCGGCCCAGGAAGTCGAAGGGCGTGGGGGGACCCTGCTGGCGGAGCGGGCCCGATCCGGGCCGCGGGGAGGGCGCACGGCCGAGGGAACTGCCTGTGCCATCGAAGGGGCGGGGCCGGGGCGAGGGCGCGCGGTCCAGGCTGCCGTAGGAATCCGGCTGCAGGTAGAGCGGGGTGCGCGGTGACGAGGGCCGGCCTTTAGGGGACAGCGGGCTGTAGGGGTGCAAAGCCGGGGCGCTCTCGGAGCGTCCGAACGAGGTGTCTGCACCGTCGGTGGCCACCTTCCGGGGAGACCCGCGGCTGCTGAAGGGCTCGGGGACCGGGCTGGAGCTGTACCGGGACAACTGTGGGGAGGCCGGGACATTGAGGGGTCAAAGGAGACATTAGGAGGTGGGTTAGTAGATCAAAAGAGGTCATCGGAAATTAACCTAGGGGAGTTGGACCGGGGCGGAGAGTCAGGCATAGGGAGCCCTGGTGAGCGGTACTGGTAAGGCAGCCCTGAAATCAGGGCTGAGGCTAGCCGGTACGGTGTCCTTCTGCCTCTTAGAAAAAGACCCTTTTCTTCCAAGGGTCCTGTGAGATGTCCATTTATACTGGTCCCCTCTTTCAAGTGCTCTTAAATAGCCCACGGCCTGTACAACCCAATGGGGCAGAACCCCAGGCAGAAAGAAGCTGGCTTTGGGGGCCACGGTGGGGACCGAGGCGAGTAGGCTCACCCTAGGTGGGGCTCCAGCCTGTGAGCCGGGAGGCGTGGGCGAGTCTGACCACAGCGACTCCAGCTGTTTGGTCAGTTCGTCCACCTTGGCCGCCGCTGTGTCCAGCTCCATCTGCTTCAGGTCCATGTGCTTCATGGCCAGAGCTGGGCAGGTGGGAGTAGCGGTAAGGACCCGGGCCTCCGGGCAGCGCCCCGCCTCTACCCTTGAGGGCCTCTCCGGGGCAAGCCCCGCCCCCTACCCCAGCTCACACTGGAAGTTCAGGTCCAGAAGGTCCCTCGTGCTCTGGAATGCCTCGCTGTCCATGGTGCCGGCGGAAGCGGGGCGCCTGCGGAGGTGTGTGGGTGGGTGGGTGGGAAGCCTTCTCAGACCCCGCCTCCAGGGAACCAGGGGTCGTAGAGCAGACAGACAGAGCCTTGACTCTCCTAGCTCCTTCCAGTGGAAGCACTATGCCCCTCCGCTTCCCTGGCTGGAAAATGCCCACTCCTTCAAATCCTCCTGGATGCCTCTGGACAATTCACTCTCTTTACGTAGCTCCTTGTCCGTCTTTCTAGGTCAGTCCTAATAAGCCTTGAATCACTCCTTCAACAATTATGCACTGATTACCTACTGTGTGCCAGGCATTTGGGGGAACAAAGGAGGCAAAAGTAACTATCAACTACTGAGTGCCTACTAGGGCCAGGAGACCCTATGCTAGATGTTAGGGATATCATTTCTTTTATGTTAGGGATCTTTTAATTTTTTTGAAGATTTTATGTATTTTTTAGAGAGAGAGAGCGAGCACACGTGCGCACAAGCAGGGGGAGCAGCAGAAGCAGAGGGAGAAGCAGGCTGCCAAGCAGGGAGGCCGACTTAGCACTCGACCCCGGGACCACTGGGATCATGACCTGAGCCAAAGGCAGATGCTTAACTGACTGAGCCACCCAGGGGCCCCACTAGGGATATATTTTTTAAAATAATAATTGTGCTGCCTACTGTGTGCCTGTGATAGTTGCTTGAGGGGATAATGATAACAACTATTAACTGAGGGGCCACGGCCTCCTAGAACTGTGCCAAAGGCTTGCATCCGATACCACATTTAATGGTCAAAGTCACAGTAGCAGGCAAAAAAATGGGGCTAAGAACTATTTGTTCAAGATCAGCTTGCAAGGAGTCGGCAGTATTAGGTTTCACACCTGGATCCAACTTGTTAGTCTAGGTCACCTCGACCAGACTTGGAAGAGTCCCAGAGGGCAGGGACCACTCAGCTTCCTCTCCCCAGAGTCGACCTTGTTCATGGGGACCCAGTGTTCACAGGAAGAACAGGGAGGTGGCTGGGGGTGGCTGGGCTGCTGTGGTCACTGGCTCAGTGGGAAGGAGCCAGGCCACAAGGAACCAGTCAAGCCAGCACCATCCCCATCCCCATGGTAGCCACCACGCCCGCCACCTCGGCCACCTCCCCAGGCTGCACCAACCGCTTAGCTTTGGAGGTGCAGGCGTGGGCAGCGGGGCAGCCTGGGACATGCTGATTCTGGCCTCTGTCTGGGAAGCCTCGGAACAGAACCTGTTGGGGCTGGTGGTTCATTTGGGTGTGCTGGGAGCATGTGACCTTGGGCAACAAGTCCCATTCACTCCTCGGGCCTCAGTTTCCCCAACAGTGAAAGGAGGAGGCAAATCAGCAATTCTAAGAGGCCTCTTCAATCGCTCAGAGGCCTAGATTCTGAAATTTTAAGGACTTTGAGGTTGTTATTAAAGCTCTACAGAGCCTAAAACTCTCAGCTTGAGAGTCTCCTGTCCAAAAGTTCTGAGTCCAAGATTCTATCTTTGGAACATTCTAGAATTCTCCAGTTTTGCTAGCTTCGATTTCTCCATCTTCCTGCACCATGTTCTATCTATCCCAGGATTCCGCTGCCCTAAAAGTCTAGCTGAATGCACGGTCAGGGGAGTGGGTAAGATCACAAGTAAGGAGCCAGACTTCCAGGGTTCAAATCTGGTGGCACCACTGACCCTGACAAGAGTGCCTCTTGATCTGTAAAACGAAGCTATGGACTATAGTGAGGATCCAACTGGCCAGAAGGTGCAAGAGGAATTAAGGCTCTGAGAATTCAGGCCTCAGAAAGTATGGACTCCAGGAATCAGAACTCGGGGCTTTTAGAAGCTCAGATACACAGGAAACACTCTGCGTCTGTTAAAATAGGAAAACGAACAATTCTATGCAGCCTCCGGTGCCAGCATTCTGGCAGCGAGATGTTCTTTCGGGGGATTTCAGGGTTCCCAAATTTCTAAGACTCTCCGATCCCACGCTGACATCTTCTGGCTCTAAGGAAATGCCAAGGCTGGGCGTGGGGCCCTCCCAGGGCTGGCGCGGGCAGAGGGGTTGTCGGGGCCACGAGGGGGCGCTCCGGGTCACGGCCCACGGGCGGACAGCGCCTGAGCTCAGACCCCGGGAATGCGCTGCGGGCCTGGGCAGGTGCCTCACCTCCCGCGGCAGGGGAGCGGGGCCGGGCGGGGCGCAAGGGCGGGGCGCAGGGGCGGCGCGGACCGCGCCTCCGTTCCCAGGCCTCAGCCCTGCACCTCCAGCTCCCGCTCCCCCTCCTGCGGGCTCTAGTCCACCCCTGGGTACCCTCTAACCCCAGCTCCCATTCCTCCCCTTCCCCTCCACCCCTAACTCTCGGTCCCCCGGACTCGTGCACACGGCCAGGCCAAGCAAGTTCTTCGGGGTTAAAAATCCCGGGGGCTTCCTGGAGGAATCATCATCCCCAGTGGGAACCGAGACAGAGCACCAGGCTAGGCTGGGAATACCCGGGTTGGACTCCTACATTTCTGTCCGGACAGACTGACGCTGGAAGAGACCCCACCCTCTCCGGGACTTGGTTTTCCCCTCTGTGGACGACTGTGGAACAAGCTAGGGCTTTCCCCCTCTCTAAGTCTCTACCCTGGTTATATAGTTTCTCTGTGCCTCAGTTTCCTGGTGTGTATGATGGGAGAATTAGTACCTTCTCCTCAGAAGGGTGTGAGGTTTGAGTGACATAACTTATGTACAGTGTTTAGAACAACGTAGGGCACCAAATAAAGTTCACACATAGGATTCTTAATTACTGACCTTCCTTGGCTGTTCTTTAAGATAACATAGGATCTACCACACAGTGAGGGCTCAAGACCCAGAGGAATCTTGTTTTTTCCCCAAAAGAGCCCTTTCAACTCTTTCTGAGTCTAAAAGCCCTGGGTTTTGACCTCTGGAGTCTCAGCTTCCTAAACCCTAAATTCTCCCTGTACATTAGTGAGTTCTGGCTCGTGGTCATGCCCAAAAATTCTGGCAGAGGGGTACATGTGCCCTGAAAGATCCCACAGAGAAGGTGGCAAAAGCCCAGGGTGTGGGCTCTCCAACCTTAGTTTCCCCAGTGGAGTAGAGAGAAGTCATTGCCTGGGGTGGAGTCAGCAAGCCACCTTTGGGCAGTTGCCTGAGACCTCTGTAGACAGTGGGAACCATCTACCTACCAGCGCTGAGCCTGGCACGCTGTGAGCTCTGTCTTGGCAGCCATGGTTGGTTATTATTTTTAATTTCATCTCAGGCTATCACCGAATGCCCTTCAAGCCCAGACAATTAGGAAGTTCTTCCCTCTCTCATCAGAACCCCCTGCCTTCCCCACCCCCTTGTTCAATCCCCTCACATGACGCATGGGGGTGGAGAGAAGGGGGAGACAGCCAGTCCCTGCCCTCCCCCGCTTCAAGGACAGACACACACCTCCAGAATTAGCCTCTATCCCTCGCTTATCTCCCACAGTACCTCAGGTCAGACAGATGGGGGTGGAGGTGACATTTCTCACCTCAGGGTCAGGGCGTGGAGCCCTAGGAGTGGGGGAGGTTAGTCAGAAAATCTGGTGGGAATGGATGGAATCCCGTCCCCCAGACAGCTGCAGAAGAAAGAGGAAGCCAAACTCTGATCAGCTCTGCTATCCGAGACAGCTGCTCAGAAGGGGCCAAACGCTAATCAACTCTACCTGTGTGACCTCTTAGCCTCAGTTTACCCCTGTCCTCTCTGTCGTGCCTGTGTAGTGCCCAGCCATGCAAGCCTCCCAGAATCCAATCCCACCTTCTGGAATTCTGCCCTGGGTTCTAGAACCCCCTGCAAACCCCAAGTATCTCCCACCTCCAAGGGGTAATGGGAGGCTCCCGCCCCCACGAGGGGGCGCCCTGGGGTGGAGGTCCCTCCTCTGGTTAGGCAGGTCTGACGCCCCAGTTAATGATATGTTGGGGATCTCGCAGCCGCACGCAGGTTGGAGAGCTGCCGTGGTACCCCCTCCCCCGGCCCCCACCCCAGAGCCGGAAAGCGTAGGGAGCGCCGGAACCCAGCCTCCAGAGGGACCTCGGGGGCTTGTCCTGCTACATTTCAGGGCCCCGAGTTCCACTATCCCCATCCCACTCCTAATTCTGCCTCGAGACCTAGAGGCTCGGTGGAGAAAGCAGCTGGAGGGCGTCAGGGATGGCCGCCCTTTCTAGAGCCCCATCAGTCCGAGTCTTGTCATTTCTACCCGGGACTCAGGCATCTGATACCCCAATTCTCCTCAAAGACTCAGGCTTCTGAGAACACCCAATTCGTGGGATTCAGGAGTCCCAGCTCCAGCGTCTCCCCGGGACCATGGCGTCCGAGCCCTCCATCCCAAGAACTCAGGCATCAGAGTTCCCTTTACTTTTGCCCAGTAAATATGAGTTCTTTCCTTCGAAGGACCCTGGCATCTGCGCACCCCCAATTCCACCCTGGGACTCGGCGTCCGAGTCCCCTCCCAGGGACGCGGTGTCGGCCTCCTCCAGAGCCGCTGGACCCCAGGGGGGTGGAACTCACGGATCCCGGGGAGATCCTGGCACCGGGGGACTTCCTCCGGCTCCGGCTCCTGCTGCGGGGAGCGCAGGACGGGGCGGGGCAGGCGCCGGGAACAGGTTAGACGACGTGACTCCGGCTGGAGGGAGGCGGGTCCCGGAGGGGAGGGGGAGTAGGGGTCGCCTCGAGCACCTTGGGACTTGTAGTCCTGGAGGGGCAGTACGCAGCCTGAGACGTTCCCATTGGGAATCACCCAAAGTCCATTTCACAGACAGAAAGGGCGAGGTCCGGAAGCCGAGGGCGACCGGACCACGTAGACAGAATCGACTTTAACCTCGCGGTGACTGAGGGAGACAGCCTCCTGAATCCCTGCCCCATCCCTCCAGGCTTAGTTTCCCCCTTCTAGAAAGATGTGGACGCCACCAAAAGGGTAGAAGGTTAGAGGCTGGGGAAGACTCACATGCCCTGCCCCTAAGGCGAGAAGAGAGCCTCGCTAAATCAGTATCCCCTCGAGTCTCTGAGCCTCGATCTCCCCGTCGGTAAAAAGGATGGGTTGGATCTTTACAGATTTTCCCAGCAACTGAGTCCAAAGTCGTAGGCTGGGACTACAATCCCCAGCAGCTTCCGCGATGGACGTCGGGCGGCTCCCCTCCTCGCGTCCTCTGGGAATTGTAGTTCGGAGCCCGCAGGGGCGGCGCCCGGGTGTCTCGCCCACGCTGGGGAACTGCCTGGTGATCCCCGGCTGAAGGAACGCGTCCCCTTCCCCTGACCCTCTTTCCGCTCTGGGTAGCCGCTCACACCCTGAGAAACGGGGACGCCCCAATTCTCGAATAGGATCCGAAATCACGGCAGAGGGGGCGGGAAGTGGCGCTGACACACCGGCCAGGAATGCAGTCGGGTCACCCTGCCTAGCCGCCGTCCCGCGGCTCCGCCCGCTGTCCCAAGTGGTGCGGTCTCTGTGGAAAGGGGCGTGGACGCGAACCCCAAATCTGTGTCCACGTGCCGCTGTTTACACGCGCCCCCCTCACCCCGGCGGAGAAAGGGAACTGATCAAGCCTTCTTCTCCCTCTCCCATCCTCAAAGCCTTCGGGAATGTCCCCCACGCACTAGACTAAGTCCTCGGGGGGATCTATCTGTCTCATTTGGTCCACAAACCCCGCCCCTAGCCCGCACCGCCCCACGCGTGTTTAGCTCGAGTCTGGAGGCCCCGCCCCGAGGCCCACAGGCTCCTCCCCCAACGTTTCCCGCTCCCTAGGAGTTCAGAAGCCCCGCCCCTAAGCTGGTACTTCACGCCCTCCGGAGGAATTATCCCATTTCTCCATTTTCCCACTTGTCCCACTCAAGTTCTGAATTTCCCAGGCATCTGGGCCTCCCAAGAAGGGATTGTAACACTGAAAGCACGGCCCTGCCAACCTAGACTCTTACCTGTCTCTTTAAGAATCTCAGACCACTCGAGCTTCCTGTCTCTTTAAGAGTTGGGAGCTACCAATGTGGCTGCCCCTTTAAGGCGACGTTGGAGCAAATAATGTCTGGGAGATTGGGGGGGATACCCGCAGGGACCCGGTGAGGCTCTAACTCCTGCCAAGCAGCCAAGCAGCTGCTTTGGGGAACACATTTTCGGGAAAAGACGTCTTCCTGGGTTATCTGCTCTGCACAAGTGGAAATTCTCCCCAGTTCTGCTCGTAGAGCGAGCGGGCCCTGAGCGACACCCCCGCGCTCCCGCACCACATGGGCGCTCCCGGATGAAGCCCCACCCCCCCGGTTCCACGTGGTCAGCAGCGCCGCTCCCCGGCTCTTGGCGGCTAGGTCTGAGGGAGGCTTGGGTCCCGGCATGGCGGGGACCCCGTCCGGCGGTGAGTGGCATCAGGGCGGGCTGGCGGGGTGCAAAGAGTTGGCTGCCTGGAGGGGAAAGGGGCCCCCGGGGGCATGCGGACGGAAAGACGGACGTTCCCAGAGACAGGACCTGCGGAGAGAGTATTTCCCGCGAGGAAGGGACTTCGGTCTGAGGGAGGGTATGGGGTGGGGGAAACTACCGGTGGAGGGAAGGGCGCCCCCAGGAATTGGCTCGGTGGAGATTGGGGTGCCTCTGGGGAACAGGCAGGAGAGAAGAGGCCGGGTGAGGGGATTGAGGCGCTCAGGAGGCCGAGACCAATGGGCCGAGACAATTAAAATCCTCCTGGAGGATTGGATCCGCGGGGAAGTGTCAGCAGGCTCCCGTTTCCTCTTCTGCAGGTGCTGCTCTGTTCTCCTGTCCCCCCAACTTTACCGCGACGTCCCCAGCTTCAGAGCCGACTCGTTTCTCTTTGGAGGTGTTAAGGGATCCAGATACGGAACTGTGGTTTATCCAGGCTCCTATAGACTTCGCCCCAGACTGGTGAGTGGTCCCAGGCCACCTCCTGGGGAATACGCCCCACCGCAGTGGCTGAATTTGAGTGGAATTTAGAGGGGCTTTCCTCAGGCATTCAGGGCGCCTGGGTAGCTCATTTGGTTAAGAGTCTGATCTTGGCTCAGGTCATGATCTCAGGGTCCTGGGATCAAGCCCGGCATCTGGCTCCCCACTCAGCAGGAGTTGGCTTCTCCCTCTCCCTCTGCCCCTCTCCCATGCTGGTGCTTCCTCTGTCTCAAATGGATGAATAAACCTTTTTTAAAAAATGCTGTTTCTCAGCTCCTTTCCTCCCTTTCACCATTGGAATCTGATGAAGCTTCTGCCTTCTGCTTTCTCCTTTCAGCCTCAATGGGCGGCTAGTGCCTCTCTTGGGCTCCCGGATTGTGAAGGGCAAGTTGGCGGGCAAGCGGCACCGCTACCGGGTCCTCAGAAGCAGCGGCCCCCAGGCTGGAGAAGCAATCCTGCTGGCTCCCTCAGGGGAAGCGGGAGGCGGACTCACCTGTGCACCAGCCCCCCAGGGCAGCCTAAGGATCTTTGACGGTCCCCAAGAATCCCCCTCCGGGACCCTGCTGCAGCCCATCCCAGCAAGCCCCCCACCACAGATCCCCCCTGGCCTGAGGCCTCGGTTCTGTGCCTTTGGAGGTAGCCTCCCGGTAACAGGGCCTGGATCAGTCTTGGCACTGAAGTCACCAGCCTCAAGGAAGAGGAAGAAGAAGAGCCATATACCAGAGGCCTCAGTTCCCCAGGAGGCGGTGCATGGGCTTGGGGCCCTGGAGGTGGACGCAGCTTTGGGGTCCCCAGGGGTGGATGTGGGGAAGAAGAAAAAAAAACAGGAGCTAAAACAACTAGAGGTGATGGAGCCCGTAGCAGCAGAACCCATGGCTGAGATGTCGGAGCCCCCGGGGGCACCATTTCTGTCCACCACCAAGAAGAAAAAGAAGCCCAAAGGGGCAGAAACGGTCGAACCAGAAGAGCAGACACCAGCGCCTGAAGAAAAGCCGGCGGAGCCGGAACTCACAATTAAAAGGGAGCCTCTGGAAGCGACAGTCTTCTCTCCCACCAGGAAGAGGAAGAGGCAGAAGGGGACAGAAGGGAGGGAGCCAGGGGAAGGGATGCCGGCCGAGTCTCCACTGCAGCTGGGGCCACGGGAGGAAGCCAACCCGCTGCCATCCTCCAAGAAGAAGAAAAAAGAAAAGGGGTACGAAGTAATGATGGAGCCAGGGACCGAGGCGATAGAGCCAGAGATGGGCCCTCTGGAGCTCCCAGGGTGGGTGATGGAGCCTGAACTACCACACGAAGTTGAGCCTCAGGCTGAGGCAGCTCTGGCGTCCACCAAAAAGAGGAGGAAGACAGAGAAATGGCAAAATGCGGCGGGGGAGCCGGGGGCAGAGGTAGGGGAGACTCAGGTGGAGCCTGAGCCACCAGGGGACCTTGAGCCGCAGCCATCCGCCAAGAAGAAGAAGAAAGAACGGTGCCACAAAGCAACGGAGCCAAGGGCCGAGATGAGTGACCCACAGGGGGAGGTGCTGGAGCTGCAGCTGCCAGATGAGGGGGAGCCTGAGGCCAGGGCAGATCTGGCGCCCACCAAGAAGAGGAAGAAGCGGGGCCGCCAGGGGAGTGGGGTGCCAGAGACGGCATCCCAGGACGAGATGCCAGAGCCGCCGCTGAGTCTGGAGTCGGGGGAGGAGGTGGCTCCCGCAGGATGGGAGAAGAAGCGGAAGAAGCTACAGCAGGATCCTGTGTAGTCTCCTCCAGGGAAACTGAGGGCTGCAGTGAAGAAAAGCTGGAGGTGACCGCCTGGGCCAGCAGAGAGCGAGCGCAGAGGACTCCCCCACCCCCAACCCACCCCCGCTCCCGGTGACTGCCCCAGCATGCCAGCAGCAGCCTGAGCCAGAAAACGGGCTTTATTATTACACCGAGGGCCTTCTTCCCAGCTGCGGTCATCGGGGCACTTTCAAGAAGGGCTCGTGTAGGACATCAAACAGCCTCCGGGCCTGGGTGAGAGCAAGAAAGAAAGGAGGGGCGGGTCATTAAATGAGCCATCTGTTTGCTATATCCGCAGTAGGCTTTGCTTCTTTCCCTCTCAACCAAACAGGGCTCTGGGGGCCAGGAGAGAAAGCCGGATCTTGAATCTGTCCCAGACTTGCTGTGTGAGTTTGGGCTGTTCCCCACCTTCCCTGGGCCTCGGTCTTCCTCAGCTGTAGGAGAAGCACTGTGGGCCTTCCAAAACCTTGTTAGAGCTTTGGGATCTGAGGTCCCATTTATTTGGTGCTTCCTCCTGTCCCTGGCCCCTCAAGCCCATTTCCACAGCTCTTACCTTCTGGGGTCCCAGGCCCGGGCACAAAGCCAGATCTTCCCGCGATGCGGCCACAAGCTGTTCCAGAGACTGAGGAAGGTGGGAGTGAAGGGTCAGAGATGGGGAGCACGAGACTACCCTGCCCCAGCTGATCAGGGGTCTAAGAGATCCCTGGAAGGAGGTGAGGTCCTGTGGGAGGGCAGGGGAGGCAGGAAGGATGGGGAGAAGGGGGCAGTGAGGTGGAAGGAAACAGGTGTGTGTGGGGTGGGGGTTCCTTGAAAAGGCAAGGGTTTCAAAATGCCATTGGGATAAGGGAATCATTCCTTACCCCAAAAGTAGTCAGAAGGGTCTGGCTGTCTGTTTTACTGACTGACTTCACTGTGGTCAGGCATTCAGTCACCTGGAAGGGGAGGAGAAGGCAGAGATGCATCATAAGAGAAATGACTGCGAGTGAGCCCGCAGGGCAGCACTGGGTCACCACTGTGTCCCCAGACTGCCTGCATGCAGGAGATGCTCAATAAATGGCCTTTTTCTTTGATTAAAAGTTCATCTTAGTAGGGTGCCTGGGTGGCTCAGTTAAGTGTCTGCCTTCGGCTCAGGTCATGATCCCAGGGTCCTGGGATTGAGCCCCACATCACAGAGCCTGCTTCTCCTTCTGCCTCTTGCTCCTCCCCCCACTGTGCTCGCTCTCTCAAATAAATAAAATATTTAAATAAATAAATAAGTTCATCTCAGAGTGGTCCCCAACTAGGTGAGAGGGTGTCAGTCACATGATGAGAAGATAAATGCCATTTCTCCTGAGTTGTTCTGCCCAGGGGAAGACCACAGGCTCTGAGTTCAAAACCAGGGCCCATTGCTTACTTCCTGTGAGGCCTGGGCATGGGAACTGACCCCTCTGGGCCTCTTTTCAGGCTAGTGGGGGGCCCTCATAGTACCCACCTCAGGGGTGGTGGTGGATGTCCACCATTACTCAGTCGTTGGAGCCCAGGTTAAACACTTCCTTCAGCCAGTACTCCCTGACCACCCACTGAGTGCTGCGTGGTGCTGGGGACACAATAGAGACGAAGCCCGGCCCGGCCCTCCTGGGGTTCCCAGTCCAGTGTGGGAGACAGATCAGCTCCTGACAGTGGTGACCCACATGGGCAGGGCGGGGGGGGCACCCCAGCAGGGGCACTAGACCTGGCCTGGGGATCAGGGAGGGCTTCCTGGAGAAGGAGGCATCAGAGCTGAGATGTGAAAGATGGGATTAGGTGGGTAGTCGGGCAGAGGGAACAAAAAGGCACAAGCTTAGAGGAGTGAGCCAGGTCTGGGAGAAGTGACAGAATCCGAGGCCAGGGGCGGACGGGGCTGCTGGGCAGAATAGGCAGGGCCTTGTAGAGTGTGGTGAGAAGGCCAGGCTTTCCCTGAAGACACTGGGGAGCCATGGGAGGGTTTTGAGCTGGGGAGGGCAGAATGAAGTTTATGCTTAGGAAGACCCCTCTGGCTGCCGTGTGAGTGAGAAAGGGGAGAGGGAGCTGAGGGTGGGATGGGGAGAAGCTGGATTCAAGCCCCAGGAAGGAGTTGGGGGAGGCCCAGGCGGGGAGGTGCGGTGCCCTCACCCGGGAGACGAAGTCCTGCTCCAGCTTCTCCATCAGGAGGTCCGCCGGCTTCTGCTCATAGGCCTTGTAGGTCTCCAGGTACCGCCCGGCCTCCTCAGGGCTGGGGTGAGAACATTCGGGTCAGCCAGGGGGAGGGGGACATGTTTTAGATTCAGTTCATTATGACGCTAACTCTAATATAGAGAAAAAAATAAACTTTGCTCCTCTAAATGTCCCCTGGTGATAACCCAGGCCAGGCGCACCTTTGCTGGCTAAGGGGCAGAGTTTGAGAGCCTGACCCATTGGCTTTAGGTTCCCCCTTTCCACCTGAGTGACCCCGCGGCCAGTGATTTTCTCTCTCCGGGCCTCAGTCTCCTCATCTGTAAAGTGGAGCGGATGGTAGAACTGGCTCCAAGCGCTCAGAACGGTGCTGGGGGCTCAGAGACCTGTTTAAGAAATGTGAGCTATTCTGGAAGCAAAGTGGGTATGTGGAGTTTGAGAAGGAGAAAAAACCAGAAACACTGTTATTCTTTTCCCAACCCCAGGAAGACAAATTTAGGAGGCATTCAGTTCCCACTGTCGGTTTTTAATCTAGCACGCCTTCGAGAGAAAGGCTGCGGGCGGGCGGGCGGGCAGGCGGGCGAGCTGACTGCTGAATCTTATAGCAGCTAACATGACCTGATGATCGCCATTAATTTTCACATCAGGCATGGGTTCTTCTGACATGTAACGGACTGCTTCAGAGGTAGGTGACATAACCAAATCTTAAAAAGGCTCTATCTGTGTGTGGAAGAAAGTAACTCAAGTTTATTGGCGCTGGGAAGAAGCTGGCCTTTTTTGTTTGGGGAACTTGTGAAGAGTGAGTTGAGTCGAAGTAAATAAAGGATTCAGGGTTGAGGCATCTTGGCCTTCAGATCCTAGCTAATAAGCAGTGTTTTTTTGATTAAGTGACGGTTCATATTCTTGAAAGAAACATTCATTTTTCTAATTCTATTTTTTTTCCTTGTTTATTTTTTATTTTTTTTATTTTTTTTAAGATTTTATTTATTTATTTGAGAGAGAATGACAGAGAGCACATGAGAGGGGGGAGGGTCAGAGGGAGAAGCAGACTCCCTGCCGAGCAGGGAGCCCGATGCGGGACTCGATCCAGGGACTCCAGGATCATGACCTGAGCCCAAGGCAGCCGCCCAACCAACTGAGCCACCCAGGCGCCCCTTTTTTTTCCTTGTTAAATGGGCTTTGCGGCTTTTCACTGCAGCAGGATTATTGTTATGGTTCTTAATAATTTGTTCAGGACCCTCAGGTTAGCACGCTGTGTCTGGTTCTAGAATTTCCTTTCATTTTTGCACTCTGCAATATAAGCAGGATGTCCTTCCATGTCAGCAGAAGGAGCTTGACCTCTTTTATTTAACGGTTGCAAAACATTCCATGATTTGGAATGTAAAGACATAGGAAACATTCCCTCTTGTGGGGGCCTAGCTGCATGCCAGGCGCTGCTCTAACTCATTATGCTCAGAAGCTTCCAGAACCGAGAGCTCCTATAAGGCACTTATTATTTTCAAACCATTATACAGAGGGGGAAGCAGACCAGCGGGGTGGAGTCACTTGCCCAAAATTACACAGCTGGCTAGGAGAAACAGCACCCTTAACTTTACATGACGCTACTTCCCACAAAACAGAGTAATGTTTACACTTGCTTTTGTTTTAATATACAACTAAGACGGGGGTGCTCGGCTGGCTCCACTGGTAGAGTATGCGACTCTTGATCTCTCGGGGTCGTGAGTTCAAGGTCGTGACGTGGCCTGGCTGCCTGATGGAATATTACACAGCTGGGAAAGAATGTGCATCCAGACAATGGGATATTCAGCAGTAAGAAGTGAGCTACCAAACCATGAGAAGGCATGGAGGAACCTTAGAAGCATATTGCTAAGTGAGAGAAGCCAATCTGAAAAGGCTTCCGTGAGGTAAGAAGAAACTTCTACGGTCTCTGCCGCTGGTACCCAGCACAGAGCTCCAGAGACCCTTGTACATTCCTCAGTGAAAAGAGCAGTAGGAGCATCTTTGTTCTATTTTTTTTTTTTTTTAAAGATTTTATTTATTTGAGAGAGAGAGTGGCTGGGGTAGGGGAAGAGGGAGAAGCAGACTCCCCGCTGAGCAGGGAGCCCAATGCAAGACTCAATCCCAGGACCACAGAATCACGACCTGAGCTGAAGACAGATGCTTAACCAACTGAGCCACCCAGGCGTCCCCATATCTGTTCTATTGAGATGACTCTGGGTGGGCTCCTGGATGGGAGCTGGATGGGGGCTGGTCACCAGAACTGATCAGAAGCTTGGGATTTTCAGCCCCACCCATGTAGGGGCTGGAAATGGACTAACAGTTGACTGTGCCATAAAATCCCAATACCAGGGGGTTCAGAGCTTCCAGATGGGCAAACACGTCAACACGGGGAGGGTCACGCACCCCAATTCCACAGGGACAGAAGCTCCTGCGCTCAGGACCCTTCTGTACATCTCATCCTATGTCTCTCACCATCTTGATGTTGATTCTTACCTTTTAACAAATTCTTTACTAAACCAATAAATGTGTTACCCTGAGTTCTGTGAGCCACTCTAGCAAACCGAACCCGAGGCGGGGGGTGGGGGTGGGGGTCCCTGGAAGCGGGCTGGTCAGAAATACAAGCTGGGCTTGTGACAGGCGACTGAAGTCGGGGGCGATCTTGGACTGAGCCCTTCACCTATGGGATCCGATGCCATCTCTGGGCAGACGGCGTCAGAACTGGCGTTAAACCGTAGGACACCCAGCGGGTGTTGCAGAGAACGGCTGGGCGTGGGGAAAAAGCTTGACACATCTGGTGGCCAGAAGTGAAGTGTTTTGTATGAGTAGTAAAAGCAACACAGGAAAAAGACCCACATTAGGGAAGAACTGGGTTGGTTTTTTTCCTACACACGAGGACAATACTCGTATTCTATACTATATATATGTATATTCCAACTATATGATATCCTGAAAAAGGCAAAACTATGGAGACTAAAAGGATGAGGGGTTTGGGGGTGGGAGGAATGAAATGAGTAGAGCACAGGGGAATCTTTAGGGCAGTGCAACTATTCTGTATGGTACAGTAATTATGGACACATACCAACCCACAAAATGTACAACACAGAGCGTGAACCCTGATGTAAGCTATGGGCTTTGGTTAATATATCGATACTGGATGGGGTGCCTGGGTGGCTCAGTTGGTTAAGCATCTGCCTTCGGTTCAGGTCATGATCCCAGAGTCCTGGGATCGAGTCTCGCATCTGGCTCCCTGCTCGGTGGGGTACCTGCTTTTCCCTCTCCCTCTGCTGCTCCCCCGCTCTCTCTTAAATAAATAAAATCTTTAAAAGTAAACAAAAATGGGGCGCCTGGGTGGCTCAGTCGGTTAAGCGTCTGCCTTCGGCTCAGGTCATGGTCCCGGGGTCCTGGGATCGAGCCCCACATCGGGCTCCTTGCTCTGCAGGAGGCCTGCTTCTCCCTCTCCCTCTGCTGTTCCCCCTGCTTGTGTTCCCTCTCTCTCTCTCTGTCAAATAAATAAATAAAATCTTTTTATAAAATATAAATAAATAAATAAATAAATAAATAAAAGTAAACAAAAAAATATATATATATCAATATTGGCTCATGAGTTGTAACAAATGTACCACACGAATTCATACAAGATATAAATAACAGGAGAAAACACATTCAGGGGGAGAGAGGCTGTGTGGCAACTCTCTGCACTTCCTGATGACTCTCTATAAACTGAAAACTGCTCTAAAAAATTAATATTTTTAGAGGTGCCTGGGTGGCTCAGTCGATTAAGAGTCTGCCTTCTGCTCGGTCATGATCCCGGGGTCCTGGGATCGAGTCCCGCATCGGGCTCCCTGCTCTGCGGGGAGCCTGCTTCTCCCTCTCTCTCCGCTCATGGTCTCTCTCTCAAATAAATAAATAAAATCTTTAAAAAAATTAATATTTTTTAAAATGTGAACACTATATCGGGATACTACACAGCCATAAAAAAAGAAGGTGGCTGTTCTCTATACTGATAGAGAAAAAAAAACTCGGGGGGGGCGGAGCCTGGAAGGCTCAGTCGGTTAAGCAGCTGCCTTCGGCTCAGGTCATGATCCCAGGGTCCTGGGATCAAGCCCTGCATCGGGGCTTCTCCCTCTCCCTCTGCCTGCCGCTCCCCCCTGCTTGTGTTTGCGCTCTTTGTCAAATAAAATCTTAAAAAAAAAAAAAAAAGCAAAGAAAAGACTTCCAGGTGACGACATGACAGTGCAAGGCACAGAACAGCAAACACACATATGTCTATGTCGCCACCTACAAATATGCCGTGTATATCCCATATACACGTATGTATAGATGTATGCACACAAACCGCTTTCATATCCCTTCAGATTTTAGAACTACATGAACATGCCATTTATTTAACAAAAGAAAGCCTAACCAGTCTATATTCGGAAGAAAGCCAGAAGCGGAGAGAGTAAATCCCACCCCCCCAGCCCCATCACTGCCGACCTCATACCCTCCCCAGAGGTCAACGCTGTCCAGGGCCTGGAGCCTTTGTAGCCCTTTCTAGTTTATCTACATACGTGTCTGTTCAGAAACACAGCTCCCTTTCCTCCCTTCTGTCTATAAATAAAAATATGGTACTGTTTGGTTCTGCAACTCTGGTTCCCACCCTCTGATGTGCAGTGATGGCCCACGTCATCGCGGATGGACATCTGCACACGCAAGCAGGGCTAATCCTGGTGCGGGAACGTCTGCATTGAAGAGCGGTGTCTATTTTGTGTAAATAGCCAATCAAGTCTCCCACCAACCAAACGTGCAGGTGCCCGTTTCATGCTATCCATCTGAGACGTTTTCACCAAATTTACGGGAGAAAGACGGCACCTCATTTTTTAAAATTTACTTTTTTCGGGCGCCTGGGTGACTCAGTCGGTTAAGCGTCTGCCTTCAGCTCAGGTCATGATCTCAGGGTACTGGGATCAAGCCCCGCATCGGGCTCCCTGCTCAGCAGAGAGTCTGCTTCTCCCTCTGCCTCTGCCCCCCCCCCCTACTCGTGCTCTCTCTCTCAAATAAATAAAATCTTAAAAAAATAGAATAAAATAAAATTTACTTTTTTCTTGATAAGCTATAAGGTTGATATTTTTTTCATGTGTTTTGGCAATCTGAATTAGACTCTTATTTAGGCTCTTATTGACCTGTGGGAATTTCTTTACATAGATAAATATATAATAAATAGGTTTAAATATGTGTATATATAAGTATTTAAATATATTAACACTGTATAACTTATATGTACATATATAAATTAGAAATGTTAAGTCTTGGGGCGCCTGGGTGGCGCAGTCATTAGGCGTCTGCCTTCGGCTCAGGGCATGATCCCAGGGTCCTGGGATCAAGTCCCGCATCGGGCTCCCTGCTCCGTGGGAAGCCTGCTTCTCCCTTTCCCACCACCCCCCGCTTGTGTTCCCTCTCTCGTTGTCTCTATCAAAATAAATAAATAAAATCTTAAAAAAAAATTTTAAGTCTTTATTTTATATATATATATATATATGCACAGCAAGTACTTTTTCATAATTTGTCACTTGTCTTTTAATTTTACTTACAGTATCTCTTACTACCCAGAAGTTTTAGAGTTTTAATATTCTCAAATCAGCCAACCTTTTCCTTTATGGCTTCGGGGTTTTGGGTCTTGCTTTAGAAGAATTTTCCTACCCCAAGATTATAATATCCTCCTGTAAGATTTCTTGAACACTTTTTTTAATGTCTATAATTTGTCAGGATTTAATTTTTTTTTTATGGTGTGAGGAAGGGATATTTTTTTTCCAGTTAGAAATTAGCCAATCTAAATAATCTTTAGAAACCTAGATGTGGAATTAATTATTCAGACAGACTTTATGTCTAACTCATCAGTGCCTGGTATGGTCCTGGCAATTTGATTTACGTCACCTGCTTTTGTAACCACAGCCCTCTAAGATAGTAAGACCCTATTTTAAAGGGTCTTAATGAAGATGAAGAAATTGAGGCCCAGAGGGAGGCAGTGCCTGGATCAGGCTCATATGGGGAGTTCATGGCAGGAGAAGGAAAGGTCTATGGGGCAGAGAGGCTGAATGACTCTCGGGATAGAGCCTGACCTGGGTGGGGAGCCTCAGTCTCACCTCCAGGCAAGGACCAGGGTGCAGTCAGCCAGGATGCACATCTTGGCCAGCTCCTTGAGGGCCTGCTGAGGATCTTTCTGGATGGAAAAGAAAATCAGAATGAGAAATCTGGTAGAAAGCACGGGATTATAGTCTTGAAAACACAGTAGGTTAGGATGCCAAGAACCTTCCACTCGACTGACACTTCCTAAGCTCTGACTGGGTGCCCACCTGTGCTGGGCAATGCCGGGACCCCACAGTAACCAAGACAGCCCAGGCTCCGCCTGCTGGGGCTCACAGTCTGATGAGGTAGATAAAACTGTCCCCGTACAGTGATGAGCCAGAGTGACCAGGACTGGGATGGGAGAGCAGGAACATGTGACCTGCCTAGGGGATCAGGGAGAGCTTCCTGGAGGAAAGGACAGTTGAGCTGAGACCTGAGGGAGGATGAGGAGGAGCGAAGGAGGCAAAGGAGAGCAAAAACAGAATTCCAGACATAGGGAACAACTTGTCCAAAGGATGGGAGGGGAAAGAGGGCTTGAGGAATTGTGATTCACAGAGTACGTGATGGAGAATATAAAGGGGTGACCACAGAGAAGCTTAGAAATGACCCCAGGGTAAATCCAAATCAAAACCTCAATGAGGGCGCCTGGGTGGCTCAGTTGGTTGACTGCCTTTGGCTCAGGTCACGATCCTGGAGTCCCTGGATCGAGTCCCGTATCGGGCTCCCTGCTCGGCAGGGAGTCTGCTTCTCCCTCTGACCCTCCCCCCTCTCATGTGATCTCTCTCTCTCATTCTCTCTCTCTCAAATAAATAAATAAAATCTTAAAAAAAAAAAAAAAAAACCTCAATGAGATACCACCTCACACCAGTCAGAATGGCTAAAATTAACAAGTCAGGAAATGACAGATGTTGGCGGGGATGCAGAGAAAGGGGAACCCTCCTACACTGTTGGTGGGAATGCAAGCTGGTGCAGCCACTCTGGAAAACAGTATGGAGGTTCCTCAAAAAGTTGAAAATAGAGCTACCATATGATCCAGCAATTGCACTACTGGGTATTTACCCCAAAGATACAAATGTAGGGATGCGAAGGGGTACGTGCACCCCGATGTTTATAGCAGCAATGTCCACAATATCCAAACTGTGGAAAGAGCCAAGATGTCCATCGACAGATGAATGGATAAAGAAGATGTGGTATATATATACAATGGAATATTATGCAGCCATCAAAAGGAATGAGATCTTGCCATTTGTAATGACGTGGATGGAACTGGAGGGTATTATGCTGAGCGAAATAAGTCCAACAGAGAAAGACATGTATCATATGACCTCACTGATATGAGGAATTCTTAATCTCAGGAAACAAACTGAGGGTTGCTGGAGTGGGGGGTGGGGTGGGAGGGATGGGGTGACTGGGTGATAGACACTGGGGAGGGTATGTGCCCTGGTAAGCGCTGTGAATTGTGCAAGACTGTTGAATCTCAGATCTGTACCTCTGAAACAAATAGTGCAATATATGTTAAGAAAAGAAAAAAAGAAGATAGCAGGAGGGAAAGAATGAAGGGGGGGAAATCGGAGGGGGAGACGAACCATGAGAGACGATGGACTCTGAAAAACAAACTGAGGGTTCTAGAGGGGAGGGGGGTGGGAGGATGGGTTAGCCTGGTGATGGGTATTAAAGAGGGCACGTTCTGCATGGAGCACTAGGTGTTATGCACAAACAATGAATCATGGAACACTACATCTAAAACTAATGATGTAATGTATGGTGATTAACATAACAATAAAAATTAAAAAAAGAAATGACCCCAGAGAGTGGGGCAGGAGGGTGGTCGCACAAGGTCTCATGGGCCACAGAAGGCACTGGGGAGTCACGGAGGGATCTGGACAGCAGATCTGTGCTTTAGGTTGGTGTAAGGAGGGGAGGGGTTGAGGCTAGAGGCCAGGAGACAAGGGAAGAGGCTGGAGTCAGGGCCCAGGTGGGCCGGGCTGGGTGGACAGAGAGGATGACACAGATTCAAGACACGTTTAGGTAGCAGAGGGCTGGGCTTGGCCGAAGTGGCGTGGGGAAGGAGGAGACGGATGATTTTACCCTCCTACCCCCTGGGCCAACATAGGGTGTCAATCTCGGATGTTAGAAGTGGTTCCTCACTGAGGTTTCAACTTGGCATCTTCCCTCGTGATTCAACAGTCCACTTGGATGCTGTGAGGCCCCCTCCTCCCTCAGACCCATTTCACAGATGGGGTCAACAAGGCCAGTGGGGAAGTGACCACTGCTTACCACATCCACCTGGATGAGCAGGACCCGCAGGGCGAAGCTCTTCCCCAGGCTCTGCAGCCGCTCGTGGATGTAGTCTGGGTGGAGGTTGTGGTAGCGGAGGCTGGGGGGGCAGGGGAAAGGGAGGGATTGGGAGGTCTCGGTCTCCCCGAGACCCCAGGGGCCCTTCTTCACTCTCCCTGGAAGGCAGAGGGCGTGGGCAACACAGGGATCTGAGGCTCAGAGAAGTGAAGTGATTTGTCCCAGGTCATCCAGCAAGGCAGGCGCACAGTGGGATTGGCAGCAAGGGCTGCCTGGCTCTGGTTCCCCAGGGGGATGCACCCCAGGTTCTTCACGGAGGCAGGGAAGAGACTTGGGCTTTGGGTAGAGGATAGGAGACCAGGGCTTAGAGAGCGGGGACTGGGGGACACTGTGCAGCTAGTCTTGGGAGGCAGGCCCATCCCAGGCACTGTCTGCTTTGGCCTCAAAGGGCGCTGGCAGGGAGGGGGTGGGGTGGCTTCTCCACCCAGGAAACTAGGGGACAGGACATCTCTGCCCAGCAGCCGCCAGCCCTCCTACTTTGCAGGGAGGACAGCAACCTAGAAGTTTCACTTCCCCCCTCTAGCTCCGTCTGGAGAAGGGCCCCGGGGAGTAGAGAGGAAATGTGTTTCACGGGGGTAGAGATTAGAGAAATCCTGGCTCTCATTGACGTGGCCTGGATGTCTGGGACATGAGTGACCCGACCCCCAACTTGCTCAGACCCAGGAGCCCAGGCCCCCAGCCCCCTCCTCCCTCACACCCAAGAGTCCAGGCCCCCAGCCCCTCCTCCCTCAGACCCAGGAGTCCAAACTCCCAGCCGCCTCCTCCCTCAGACCCGGGAATCCAGGCCCCCAGGCCCCTCCTCCCTCAGACCCAAGAGCCCAGGCCCCCAGCCCCCTCCTCCCTCAGACCCCCAGCCCCTCCTCCCTCAGACCCAGGAGTCCAAACTCCCAGCCGCCTCCTCCCTCAGACCCAGGAGTCCAGGCCCCCAGGCCCCTCCTCCCTCAGACCCAAGAGCCCAGGCCCCCAGCCCCCTCCTCCCTCAGACCCCCAGCCCCTTCCTCTCTCAGACCCAGGAGCCCAGGCCCCTAGCCCCCTCCTCCTTCAGACCCAAGAGCCCAGGCTGTCAGCCCCCTCCTCCCTCAGACCCAGGAGTCCAGGCCCCCAGCCCCCTCCTCCCTCAGACCCAGGAGTCCAGGCCCCCAGCCCCTTCCTCCCTCAGACCCAAGAGCCCAGGCCCCCAGCCCCCTCCTCCCTCAGACCCAGGAGCCCAGGCCCCCAGCCCCTCCTCCTTCAGACCCAGGAGTCCAGGCCCCCAGGCCCCTCCTCCCTCAGACCCAGAAGTCCAGGCCCCCAGCCCCTTCTCGGACCCAGGAGTCCAGACCCCCAGCCCCTTCCTCCCTCAGGTCAAGGAACCCAAGCCCCCAGCCCCCTCCTCCCTCAGACCCAGGAGTCCAGGCCCCCAGCCCCTCCTCCCTCAGACCCAGGAGTCCAGGCCCCCAGCCCCTCCTCTCTCAGACCCAGGAGTCCAGGCCCCCAGCCCCCTCCTCCCTCAGACCCAAGAGCCCAGGCCTCCAGCCCCTCCTCCCTCAGACCCAGGAGTCCAAACTCCCAGCCGCCTCCTCCCTCAGACCCAGGAGTCCAGGCCCCCAGCCCCCTCCTCCCTCAGACCCAGGGTCTGGGCCCGCAGCTCTTCTTGCTCTGGGCACCTCCAGGCGAAGACCTCTTCCTCCCACACAAGGTCCCACCGAGGCCTAGAGCCAACAGGGCCACACCCAAAGGTCTCCCACTGAATGGTCCAAAACACGGGGGCATACCCTCCCAGGCCTCCCAGGTCTCTGGAAGGTGCGGCAGCCCCTCAGAGCTCACCTGAGGAACAGGGCACAGGTGCTCTGGCCCAAAACGTAGTCGGGAAGCACGTCACCAAACTCCCAGGGCACGTTACGCACAAACTTCAGCACGGGGTTGCCTCTCTGGGGACGGAGGAAGGGCCAAAGCCATTAACCAGGATGGCCCTGGGACCACTGCCACCCCAGGGCCCCCCTCCCCCATCGCTGTCAACACCTCGCCACCTGCTCCCTGCCTGTGCCTGTCCTCCTCCTCTTCAGAGTCTACCTCCTCAGCCTGAAATGTCCTTGGTGCTCTGGCTCTGACCTAGGCCCCTCCCCCCAGCCCTGGGCCTTAACTAAAGGGTCCCTGAATCTCTCCAGTTCAGCCCTCTCCCCTGGCCCCACGTATGTGTCCTGGGGTTGCGGGACCCTTCCTTCAGGATGTCTGCCTCATTGCATCCCAAGTGCCTTCAGCACCAGCCCTTACACCTGCCCCTCCTCCTTCGGGGACAGCCCCACCATCCAGAGACCAGAGCCTGGTCATGGACACATTCCTCTCCTCCTCCTCCTCCAGGTGGGATGTCTACCTGAGACAGGATCCTATTTTCATTTTTAAAGGATTACTTTGGGATGCCTGGGTGGCTCAGTCGGTTAAGCGTCTGCCTTCGGATCAGGTCATGATCTCAGGGTCCTGGGATCAAGCCCCGCGTCAGGCTCTCCGCTCAGCGGGGAGTCTGCTCCTCCCTCTACCCCTACCCCCTGCTCGTGCTCTCTTTCTCAAATAAATAAATAAAATATTTTTTAAAAAAGGAATCCTTTGGGCGCCTGGGTGGCTCAGTTGGTTGAGCGACTGCCTTCGGCTCAGGTCATGATCCTGGAGTCCCGGGATCGAGTCCCGCATCAGGCTCCCTGCTCAGCTGGGGGTCTGCTTCTCCCTCTGACCCTCTTCCCTCTCGTGCTCTCTCTCTCTCATTCTCTCTCTCTCAAATAAATAAATAAAATCTTTAAAAAAAAAAAAAAAGGAATCCTTTGTCCCCTTCACACCCACTAGAATGGCCAAAACGGTCAAAAAGATAGACAAGGACAGGTAGTGAGGATCTGGGCAAACTGGAACCCCCACCCACTGCTGGTGGGAACGTAAAATGATGCCTCGTTAGATAAAATGGTTTGGGAGTTCCTAAAAAAGCTCAACAGAGAGTCACCCCATGACCTAGCCTGCATAAATCCCCAAGAGAACTGAAAATCCGCGTCTACCAAAAAACCTGAACACAGATGTTCAGGGCAGCGTCTTCAGAATAACCAACAAGTACAAACAGCCCAATGGACAGCCCATCAGCTGAGGGATGTGAACCCCGGCAGGGCGCCTCCATATGCCGGGATGCTATTGGGCCCGCAAAGGGAAGGAAGGAAGCCTGGACACGCGCTACCTCGTGGAGGAACCTGAAAGCCTTACGCTGGGTGAAAGGAGCCAGATGTCAGCTGACAGACATGTGATTTGTTTGCACTTTTTGGCTATTGGGAACAAAGCTGTGGGGACTGCTCGGGCACCAGATTTTGTACGGATGTATGTTGTCATTTCTCCTGAACATCTACCTAGAAGTAGACTTGCTGGGTCATTTGGTAACTCTTATGTTTATTTATTTATTTTTTAAAGATTTTATTTTGGGGGGGATGTCTGGGTGGCTCAGTTGGTTACGCATCCGACTCTTGGTTTCGGCTCAGGTAGTTATCTCAGGGTCATGGGATCGAGCCCTGCATCAGGCTCCATGCTCAGAGGGGAGTCTGCTGGAGGTTCTCTCTCTCCCTTTGCCGCCCCCCCCACCAGCTTGCTCTCTCTCTCGCCCGCGCAAATAAATGAAATCTTTAAAATAAATTATATTTTTTAAAGTAATTACACCTAACATGGGGTTCGAACCTACAACCCTGAGATCAAGAGTCACACGCTCCACCAACTGAGCCAGCCAGGCGCCCCGGTAACTCTATGTTTAAGTGTTTGAGGAACTGCCAGACTGTTTTCCAAAGCAGCTGCACCATTGTGCATTCCCACCAGCAGCCTAGGAGGGTTCCAATTGCTCCACAGCCTCGAGACCCTTCTTTGGCCAATTGATGAGAGCCATCCTCATGGGGGTAAACTGGTACCTCAGTGTGATCACAAGCAGACGAAACCTCATTTTAAGGGCACAGATGAGTTAAGGCACTTGCTCAAGATCACACAGCTGCTGCATGCCAGAGCAGGATTCGAACTCGGGCCTGCGTTCAAGAAATCGTCTTTGAATGAAACAACAAACCCGGAGGACAGGAAATATAGCTGCACTAACGCGGTCGCACCCCCAAAAAGAAGAGTCAGGGTGGTATAGACTAAACTTTTGTGTCCCCCCCAAAACTCACATGTGGAAATCCTAACCCCCAATGGGATGGTATTAGGAGGTGAGGAGAGGCAATTAGGTCATGAGGGTGGAGCCCCCGGGAATGGGACTAGCACCCTCATAAAAGGACCCCAGAGAGCTTCTTCACCCCTTCTGCCATCTGAGGACACAATAAGACAGCAGTGTATGAACCAGGGTCCTTCCCAGACACTTTGACTGCCAGCGCCTTGATCTTGGACTTCCCAGGCTCCAGAACCGTGAGAAATAAATGTTTTCTGTTTAAACTACCCAGTCTATGGTACTTTTGTTCTAACAAAACAATATGACATGGAGCAATCTCAACCCACACGCAGTACTTGAATGGATCTATGAAAGAGGGGCCCAGCCCAGAGCACAATGGCCAGAACTCAGGGGCGCCTCGGGGGCTCAGTCGTTAAGCATTTGCCTTCGGCTCAGGTCTAGATCGCAGGGTCCTGGGATCGAGCCCCGCATCGGGCTCCCTGCTCAGCGGGAAGCCTGCTTCTTCCTCTCCCACTCCCCCTGCTTGTGTTCCCTGTCTCGCTGTCTCTCTGTCAAACAAATAAATAAAATCTTAAAAAAAAAAAAAGGCCAGAGCTCAGACTTCCTTCCACTGCCCACCAGAACTCCCCACCATAACCCATGTTTCCCACCAGAAACCTCAAAGCCCCACTTCTCCATCCCCTCCTCACCTGGCGGGGGCTCACAATGATGCTGCTGGACTTCGCCCCCGGTTTGGGGGCCTGATTGGGGGTCTCTCCTGCCAGGGGCTCTGGCCCCCTGTGGTGTGGAGCTCCAACCCCTCCTGGAGGTCCCGAGATGGCATACTCCGCATACGTCTGAGGGGCTGCCTGAGGTGAGGCCTCCACGGTGGGCAGGCTCCGGGTGGATTTGAATAAGGGCTTGACCTGTGCAGGGAAGAGAGTGCCAAAATCTAAATCGAGCCCCTTCTCCCCACTCCTCAGCCTCTGCACTGGTCCCGGCCACCACCTTCTCTCCCTTGGCCCACTGCAGTCACCTCCTCACCAGCTCCCTGTCTACACCCTTACTGTCTGTTCACTGTCATTTCACGTCCCTCTGCTCAGCGACCTCCGTGGCTCCCATCTCCCCAGTGTTCTCCTCATCTCCTCGTCCTACCCCTGCAGGAGGGGCCTCATCTTCGCCCAGCGGTATGAAGAATTTCTTCCTCGTGGGTGGCCCGGAGGGCTGCCGCACTCCCTCTTCGTCCATCCCAAGGTTCTTCTGGGGCCTGAAAATGAAGACATGGCGGCGGGCGCGAGTGAGACACCAGCGCCGGCATTCCCATCCTCCCAGCAGGAACCCCCACTCCCAGCTATCCCGCCCCCAAAATCCCGGGGCTGCACAGCATCAAATTCCAAACACCCAGTGCCCTAGATTCTTTAAAGCCCCGCCCACACGGAGCCGCCACCTTCAGCTCGCCCCGCCCCTTACCGGTCCAGGTGTTTCGTTAGCCCCGCCCCTCGAGGGCCCCACTTTCTATTCGCCCCGCCCTCACTGTTCCCCGCCTTCCGTTTGCCCAGTCCAGCCTCTGACCCCTCCGCCCCGCCCCCAGGGCTCGCACCTGATACCCTCCCCTCGCTCCATCTCGTCCCTCTCTCAGACACTGCAACGACTGATTGGCTCCTGTGGCTGCCGGTCGCCTCTCCCCACCCGCCCCTTTCGACCCAGCCCCACTGTCGGAGCGCCGCGAGGACTCACCTCCTTGCCCCCGAGCCGCGAGTAAAAAACCGGAGAGGGACCGAGGCGTCCCACCGCCGACGCGGCCAGCGCGTCCCCGGGCTCGCCCTACTTCCGGCCTCTCTAGCCCTCGATCCCGCCCTCACCGTTCCCCAGAGGGGTAGAGCTTCGAGAGGGGCGGTCCCCGCGCAGCTCTCTATGGTCCTGGAGGACTGCAGAGGTCTGGGTTGGACAGAGCCGTCGACCTAGCCGCCTGAACGTCTCTGGTTGGCGAGAAGTTCAATTTCGATGCCCTTATGAGGCACCTCCTTGTGCTCGGCCTCCGGACAGGATTCAGTGGGAGGGAAAATGACGGGAGATCAAATTAAGGTTCCTCCTCTCAGTCCAGACTTGGGTTCACATCCCAGCTCTGCCATTGACCTGGCCTCGGTTTCCACATTCATTCACTCTCATTCCACCCGTACCCCCCGAGCGCCTCCTCTGTTCCCGGCCGTGTGCCGGGCAGTGCGAGCGACTCAGCAGTGACCACTGACAACCATAGCTCCCTCCTGTCCTTCTGGAGTTCCCAGTCCAGTGGGAGAGACACACTCGGGTTCCCAAACAGTGACGACCCGCGGAGTGAGCAAGGCTGGGGGGGAGAGGGGAGGGGAGGGCCGCCGGGGAGAGGGGAGGGGAGGGGAGAGGAGGGGCCGCCCAACCCAGCCCCAGGGTAGGGAGGGGCTTCCTGGAGGAAGGGACATCTGAGCAGAGACCTGGTTGATGAGTTAGAATTAGTCATTTCCCGAAAGAACAGTATCACACTGTTCTAACTTGCGGCCCTCTGGTTACTAAGGAGAGAGAACATCTTTTTGTGAGTTTATTGGTCTTATGTAGTTTGTCTTCTGTGGATGGCTTGCTCATATCCTTTGCCCATTTTTTTAAATGGGGTTGTGTGCCCTTTTTTATTAGTCTTAATTTGTGGAGTACTTTATGGATTCCGATTTTAATTCTTAGTTATGTATATTCTAAGTATTCCCTCCTAGCTTGTACTTTGTATTTTAACTATTTATTTATTTATGTCACAGAGAATTCATAGTGTTTATTCACACCTGTTTATCACTCTGTTCGGTGCTGACTTTGGCTTTTGGTGTGTTAAGAGACCTGCCATACCCCCAAGGTCATAAATATATCCTGTAATTACTTTTTTTGTGAAGATTTTATTTACTTATTTGACAGAGAGAGACAGAGTGAGAGAAGGAACACAAGCAGGGGGAGTGGGAGAGGGAGAAGCAGGCTTCCCGCTGAGCAGGGAGCCCGACGCGGGGCTCGATCCTAGAACTCTGGGATCACGACCCGAGCTGAAGGCAGACGCCTAACGACCGAGCCACCCAGGCGCCCCTGTAATTACTTTTAATACTTTCAGAGTCTCGATTTTGTTTCTGTCTTTAATCTATATAAGACTTATTTTTGAAAATGCACTACAGTAGGAATTTATGATGAATGCAGCCAATTGTCCCAATACCATTTTTAAAAAAAATCAATCCCCAATTTTGATATTTCACCTTTATCATGAACCAAATTCCCATATATACACAGGTCTATTTCTGACATTTGTTAAGTTTTATTAATCTCTTTATCTGTTCCATCTGTTCCTTGCCTCCATGATGTACTGTTTAATGATTTTATTTTGATACGTTTTGTGATCCCATCAGGCAAGTCCCCTCTGTTCAGTTTCAAACCTGTCTTTACCGTTCTTTTTTTTTTTTTTTTTTTTTTAAGATTTTATTTATTTGACAGAGAGAAACATAGCAAGAGAGGGAACACAAGCAGGGGGAGTAAGAGAGGGAGAAGCAGGCTTCCCGCTGAGCAGGGAGCTCGATCCCAGGACCCTGGGACCATGACCTGAGCCGAAGGCAGATGCTTAACGACTGAGCCACCCAGGCGCCCCCTGTCTTTACCGTTCTTACACCTTTTCTCTTCTAGATGGATTGTAGCAGCTGCTTCTCTACTTCAGAAAGAATCCTATTGAGATTGAGATTGGAATTTCAATGAATTGATGGTTTAATTTTTTTTTTTTATTTGAGAGAGAGAGAATGAGAGACAGAGAGCACGAGAGGGAAGAGGGCAGAGGGGGAAGCAGATCCCCCGCTGAGCAGGGAGCCCGATGCGGGACTCGATCCCGGGACTCCAGGATCATGACCTGAGCCGAAGGCAGTCGCTTAACCAACTGAGCCACCCAGACGCCCGATGGTTTAATTTTTTTAAAAGATTTTATTTATTTATTTGAAAAGGAGAGAGAGCATGAGAGAAAGAGAGCACAAAGAGGGGGAGTGGCAGGCAGAGGGAGAGGGAGGGGGAGAAGCAGACTCCTGGCTGAGCAGAGCCCAACACGGGGGTGGGTGGGCGGTGGGCCTTGATCCCAGGACTCTGGGATCATGACCTGAACCAAAGGCAGACGCTTAACCCACCGAGCCACCCAGGCGCCCCAATTGATGGGTTCATTAAAAGGCATCTTCTTCATATACCTGAATATATTGACTGTCTCCATCTCTCAATGATTCCAGCTTTTGTTAGGAGCCTACTATAAAAGTTTTTTATAAATAATTTTTATTTCTAAAATTGATTCATAAATACAGTTTTGTATTAGTCTCCTAGGAGAGCTGTAACAAAGTACCCAAAACTGGGTGGCTTAAGTAACAGAAATGAATTGTCTCACCGTTCTGGAGGGTCCAAAGTCAAGGTGTTGGCAGGGTTGTGTTCCCTCCGAATGCACAAGGGAAGGATCTCTCCCAGGCCTCTCTCCTAGCTGCGGGTAGCCGCAGGAGTTTCCTGGCTTGTAGATGGCCATCTTTTCTCTGTGTATGGTCTTTTCTCTGTGTCTAAACTTCCCTGTTTTATAAAGACACCAGTCATTGGATTAGGGCCCATGCTAATGACCTCATTTTAACTTGATTATCTCTATGTAAAGACCTTATTTCCAAATAAGGTCACATTCTGAAGTACCAGGGGTTAGGACTCCAACGTATCTTTTTTGGAGGACAGGAGTCAACCCATAACAATTCTGTTACTTTTTGTAACTTTCTTCCTTCTAAATTTATTTTACTACTTGCTAGAGTCCATTCACTTCTAATTCTTTCAGAGAGCATTCTGCATAGTCATGTTCTGAGTCTTGCTACTCTCAAAATACTTTCATTTCATCCTCACAATTGGAATCTCCGATTCTGGGTTCCTAGTTATTTTTCTTGCAAAGTTAGAAGATATCGGTACTCTGTCTCCCTGGCTTCTGGGTCGCTGATAGGAAGCATACCATTCCCCTGATTCTCCCTCCTACTTATGCAGGCTCATCACTGGGTGTAATTCCCCCCCAAGGTCATCTACTAGCAGTGTGACCTTGTGCCAGTAACTCAGCTTCTCTGTGTATATCAGTTTGCTCATCTCAAAATTGGGGATGGGGTGCCTGGCTGGCTCAGTCAGTAGAGCGAGCGACTTTTGATCTCCGGACTGTGAGTTTGAGCCCCACGTTGGATGTAGCGATTACTTCAAAATAAATAAGATTGGGGGGACGCCTGGGTGGATCAGTTGGTTAAGCGTCTACCTTCAGCTCAGGTCATGATCCCAGGGTCCTGGGATCTAGCCCCGCACCGGGCTCCCTGCTCGGTGGGAAGCCTGCTTCTCCCTCTCCCAGTCCCCCTGCTTGTGTTCCCTCTCTCACTGTCTCTCTCTCTTGCTGTCAAATAAATAAATAAATAAATAAATAAATAATCTTTAAAAAAATAAAAACAAATAAATAAATAAGATGGGGATAACAATAATGGATGGATTCCGAGGATGAGTTACTAGGAACGTGCCTAAAACTGTACTTGGCACACAGTAGGTGCTTTATTTGAGTTTGTCATATATATAAAATAGCCCTAACCAAGTCCTGGACAGCAGGGGCTGGAGCTGTTGTGGCTATAGCAAGCAACTACACTGCTGGGAGCCTCAGTTTCCCCATCTGTACTGCTGAGGACTCAGTAAGACCACAGCGAACTGTATTGAGATGGACGGTTCACCCATTCCTCGAATACCTACATATTGAGCACGTACTATGGGCCAGGCAGCGGAGACACAGCGGTGAACAAGTCGGCCCAGGTCCCTGCCCTGTGGAGCTGATGGTCTCACGGAGGAGACACACCACGAGAAAGAAGCACACAAATCATAGTTTCAGGCGGCCACCCGGCTACGAAGAAGATAAAGCACGGTGCTGTGAAGCAGGTGATGCGGGAGGGGGGCTCACACTGTCACAGGATGAGAGCTCTATAAATAATAAAAATATTGCCACCAACTGGAGTCCCATCAAAATAGGTTGAGCACTTAACTATGAGCTAAGGCCTCACAATAATCTTCCCCTTAGGTATCAATAGGTCATTTGACATATGAGGGGACTGAGGCCCCAGCGACACAGAGAAGGACCATGGAAATGTATCCCTGAAATCCAAGGGCAAGAGAGTGTGTATTCTAGAAGGAGGCCAACCTGGGCGGGACTTAGTTTCTCCCTCTGGGGAATGCAATTGCCAAACAAACCTGCAACTCGAGCCTTTTCCGCCAGGGGGCGATGGCGCCCCGCAAGAGGATTTGGGGTGTAGGGAGGCGGGGAGCGGCTCCTCCAGAATCCCCCCGCCCCGCCCCGGGACAAGACCCCGCGCAGGCGGCCGCTTCGCTACTTCCGACTCGACAAAGGCCCCGCCGCGTGCGGTTAATGTGACGCTGAGCCTGTTAGTATTAGTTCGCGTGCGGCAAAGTTGCCCTCGGTTCTACATCATTTCCAAGTTTGATTTCTACTCGATTCGCCAACAGAACTTTCGGATCCTGGATTCGAAGCTTCCCGCTCCCAGAGTTGAGAGCTTGAGTATTCCACCTGTCCTCACTCTGATTCCGCGTCTCCTTCCAAACGCTCCCAAGTTCAAATCCCACCTGCAATTCCAGTTCCCCGGGTGACTTCTCGAATCTGGCCCCTGCTCCAGCCCCAAACCTTCCCCTAATCCTAACTTTGAGTTTCCTCTGCGCGTCGGAGGCATTGGAGTGGGGATGGGAATATTGGGACCCCCGCCCCTAATTCCGCCGGAGGAACTCTGGGCGGGGGGCACAGGGCCGCCATCCGAAGGCTCTGGAAGCGGGGGTGCGGCCGAGGGGCGCAGTGACCAGGCCGGCTTCCCCACCCGCCTCTAAACTTAGCCGCAGTGACGCGCGGCCCGGCGATCGCGCGGCGGGGCTGGGGACGCAGGGGGGCCAGAGCGGAGGGGGGCGGCTCTGCTCCGCGAGCCTCTATTTATAGCGCCCGGAGCCCGAAATAGCGCCGAGCGGAGCGGCCTGCATGACGCGGGAGCCGCCGGGGACTGACTCACCCGGCCCCGAGCGGCGGCCCCCGGATGGGGGGCAGTGGAGGCGCCCGGCCGCGACCCCGAGCTGTCCCGAGCACCCCTTCTGCCGGGCCGTCCCAAGTTTGCACCGGTCGCTGGGGTTGGATATGCAACAAAAGGGAGGATCTGCAGCACGAGAGACTGAGGTTAGATCAGAGGTGGGACTTCCCCGGAAGGGCCCAGAACCAAGGAACTAACTTTATTTTTTTAAGTAAGCTCTATGCCCAATGCAGGGCTTGAGCTCACGACCCTGAGATCCAGAGTCGCATGCTCTACGGACTGAGCCAGCCAGGCGCCCCTCCAGGAACTAACTTTTTACAAAAAGAGAGGTTGGGAAGGAAGGGATATTTAAAACAACAAAACAACAACAACAACAAAAAAAAACCACCCCAAATATGCACACCTATTTCCCACCAACAACAGGACCAAAGCATCTTGGGGGCAGAGAAACGCAATAACCTGGCGTTCGCCAGTTCGCCAGACCAGAGCTGTCCCCCTCTCTACTCTACGGCTCCTTGCATGCTCCTCCCACTGCCTAGAATGCCCTTGCCTGTTTCCCCATTTTTAAGAACTCGTGTCCCTGTGTCCCTTCGGGACCTGGTGCTAAGGTCAGTCCCTCACAAATGAAAACTCTGTGACCCACAAGGGCAGGGCCACGCCTGTCTCAGTCATCACCGCGTCCCTAGCACTGCCCAGAACAAGACAGGCCTCGGGGGAAATTAACTACATGCATAAAAATTGTTGGTAATAAAATGATCTTTCCCAAATTATAATAGCAAACGTTTATTGTACGCTACATGCCAGACCTGAGTCGGAGAGTCATCTCCTCTGGGTCTCACTATAACCTTAGTAGGGAGAGGTGCTTTTACTATTTTACTACTATCCCCACGTTAGAGATGAAGAAACCACAGCTCAGAGAGTATCTCAGCTCAGAGAACATAAAGCTCATCTTGCTCGTAGTCAGAGCTTTCTTTTGAACCAGGTCACCTGGTCCCCAAAGGTGTTCAGTTTCCCAGGATACTGTCTCTAGGCTTTATTGAACCCGGAGCTAAGGAATGATTCTCAAACTGCAGTCCACGGAACCCTGGGGGGGGGTTCCCCAGCATTCTTTCAATGGGTTCAAGAGGTTAAGATGTTTATAATAATATTAAGACACTTACCTGCCTTTTTCACATTCACAGTGCAGTCTGTATAATATCACACTTAACACAGCAGCAGATAGGAGGACACACAGCTCTCTTTTGTTGAGCCAGACATTAAAGTAATCTGCAAAAATTATAAAACGATGTCCCTCTTCTCATTAAATTTTTTCTTGTTTTGGAGTATATGGTTATTTCAATTAAAAAATATATTATTTTATGTTGACATGAAATTGTTTATTTTTTAGCTTGTATTTTTTTTTATTTTTTTTAAGATTTTATTTATTCGTTTGAGAGAGAGAGCAGAGAGAGAGAGAACGCGCACGAGCAGGGGTGAAGGGCAGAGGGAAGAGGGACAAGTAGACTCCCCGCTAAGCAGGGAGCCTGACGCAGGGCTTGGTCCCAGGACCCTGGGATCATGACCTGAGCAGAAGGCAGATGCTTAACCAACTGAGCCACCCAGGCGCCCCTAAATTACTTTTTTTAATTTTTTTTTTTAGTTTTGACTCTTTAAATTATTTATTTTTTTAATGAATCAAATGTTTTTTAAATTTCTTAGTTTTAATTTATAATGCAATAAATATTGAAAGATATAATGCACATTAAAAATAACTCTTTGAAGGAAAAAAAATCCCAACTCTTTGGAGTCCTCAATAATTTTTAAGAGCATAAGGGGTCCTGAGACCAAAAAGTTTACAAATCACTGAACTAATAATCATATACACCTGATAAGTGTTATATAACGGACAAGGATGTGAAACATTGGGGCACCTGGGTGGCTCAGCCGGTTAAGCGTCTGCCTTCGGCTCAGGTCATGATCCCAGGGTCCTGGGATCGAGCCCCGCATCGGGCTCCTTGCTCGGCGGGGAGCCCGCTTCTCCCTCTCCCACTCCCCCTGCTTGTGCTCTCTCTCTGTGTCAAATAAATAAATAACATCTTTTAAAAAAAGAAGAAGAATGTGGAACATCATTTCAACTGAGGACAGGAGAGGTTTCTCTGTCAAAGGAACATTTAAGAAGAGATCTAAAGGGGCACCTGGCTGGCTCAGGCAGTAGAGCATGCAACTCTTGATCTTGGGGTTGTGCTTTCAAGTCCCACAATTGGGTGTGGAGCCTACTTAAATAAATAAATACACACATACCTACAAACATACATAAAATAAAAGACCTAAAGAATGGGGCGCCTGGGTGGCTCAGTTGGTTACCGACTGCCTTCGGCTCAGGTCATGATCCTGGAGTCCCGGGATTGAGTCCCGCATTGTGCTCCCTGCTCAGTAGGGAGTCTGCTTCTTCCTCTGACCTTTCTCTTTCTCATGCTCTCTGTCTTTCATTCTCTCTCTCTCAAATAAATAAATAAAATCTTTAAATAAAAAAAAAAAAGACCTAAAGAATGAATGGGAATTGGCTAGGTGAAGGGTGGGAGAGCTTTCAAGGTGGTAGGAATGGCTTGTGCAAAGATCCTGTGGTAAGAAATTGGCTAGGTGAGTTTGAAAAACACAAGGCTAAGCAATCAAGGGACCAGATTTTGTAAGGCCTTGAAAGCTACAGTTAGTACTTTAGATTTTATTCTGAGTGGAGAATGAACTGTAGGGGAAGCAAGGATGGAAGCAGGAAGACCAGTGAGAAAGTGACTACCAGTAAGATGGTAACCTGGACTAGGGTGACAGATAGTCAGTGGCAAAGCTTAGGTTTGAGGGACTAGCAGTAACAGGAACCAGAATTGCAGACTGGGGAAGAAAGATGAGAATTCTGGCTGAGCCTCCTCAGGTTGTTGAAACCTTTGCGACATCCCAGGGGGAAGGTCAAAGAGACAGAAGGGAGTTCCAGGTTCAAGACTAAAATCTGAGAGTCACAAGGGGGCACCTTGGTGGCTCAGTCGGTTGAACATCCAACTCTTCGTTTTGGCTCAGGTCATGATCTCAGGGTTGTGGGATCAAGCCCCGCGTCTGGCTCAGTGTGAAGTCGGCTTGTTCCTCTCCCTCTGCTCCTCCCCCAATCGCACTTTCTCTCTCTCTCTCAGATAAATAAATACACTCTATTAAAAAAAAAAAATCTGAGGGGTGCCTAGGTGGCTTAGTCGTTAAGCATCTGCCTTTGGCTCAGGTCATGATCCCAGGGTCCTGGGATGGAGCCCTGCATCGGGCTCCCTGCTCTGCGGGAAGCCTGCTTCTCCCTCTCCCACTCCCCCTGCTTGTGTTCCCTCTCTCACTGTGTCTCTGTCAGATAAATAAATAAAATCTTAAAAAAAAAAAAATCTGAGAGTCACCAGTGTCCATGCAGGTGGTATTTTTCTAGTTTGTTAACTCCATATTTTTATTATAATTTCTAGATGATTACTGCTATTAAACATTGTTGGTTAAGGGCGCCTGGGTGGCTCAGTCGTTAAGCGTCTGCCTTCGGCTCAGGTCATGATCCCAGGGTCCTGGGATCGAGCCCCGCGTTGGGCTCCCTGCTCGGTGGGAAGCCTGCTTCTCCCTCTCCCACTCCCCCTGCTTATGTTCCTGCTCTCGCTATGTCTCTCTCTGTCAAAAAAATTAAAAAAAAAAACAAAAACATTGTTGGTTAGAGACCTACACTGTTGGGCCCCTGGCTGGCTCAGTCAGAAGAGCTTGCGACTCTTGATCTTGGGGTTGTGAGTTTGAGTCCCACCCTGGATGTAGAGTTTACTTAAAGATCTTTTTTTTAAAAAGATTTTATTTATTTATTTGACAGAGAGAGACAGCGAGAGAGGGAACACAAGCAGCGGGAGTGGGAGAGGGAGAGGCAGGCTTCCCGCTGAGCAGGGGGCTGGATGCAGGGCTCAGTCCCAGGACCCTGGGATCATGACCTGAGCCGAAGGCAGATGCTTAACGACTGAGCCACCCAGGCGCCCCGAGTTCACTTAAAAATCTTAAAAACAAAACAAAACAAAAGATTTCTAACTATCTTTGTATTTTTTTAAAAATATTTTATTTATTTGAGAGAGAGAGTGAGAGAGAGGGGGTAGGGTCAGAGGGAGAAGCAGACTCCTCGCCAAGCAGGGAGCCCGATGCAGGACTCGATCCCGGGACTCCAGGATCATGACCTGAGCCAAAGGCAGTCGCTTAACCAACTGAGCCACCCAGGCGCCCTATCTTTGTATTTTTAATAACAGATAAAATTCTATTAACACAAATATTTGGTGGTTGGCCTTCAAACAGGCAATCTGGCCAAATTCTCATACTAAAACAGTTTGCTGATCCTTTTAGTTTTTCCTTGAAGATGATCCAAATGGCAGTTTTCTCTCTTGCCTTCTGATCTTTCCATCTCATTTATTTTTCTTGTCTTATAGCATTTGCAAAGACTTCCAGGACTGTGTCAAATGGTAAAGTTGATTGATTCTCATGCACTGTACATCACAATCCTCTAAGATGACTTATCTCATTATGCCCATTTTATAGAGGGAGAAGCTGAGGCAGAGAGAAGTTACTCTCTTGCCCAAGGCCACACAAACAGTCAAACCAGGATTCCAACCAAAGCTTGTGTTCTCAACCACCGCCTTAAAAGAAAACTCAACAAGCATTCTATATATTTTTTCCAACAGGCAAAATACCCTGCAAGTTTCCACAGGGACCTCTGAATCTTGGATGAGGAAGGTGGGGGAGTGCTGAGGTCTGGTTCTGGCTCCGCCCCCTTGCCTAGACTCAGTTTCTTCTTGTGATGGAGGGTTGGAAGAGATGGTATCTGAAAGCCACAGAAACTCCGCCTTTGGAGTGGAGGAGACAGGCCCCCAAATAGATTGTATTCATTTCCTGTGGCTGCCTAACAAAGTACCACAAACTTGGGTACTGCTTGGTGGCTTAAAACAACAGAAATTTATTCTCTCACCATTCTAGAGGCCGGAAATCCTAAATCCAGGTGTCTGGCAGCAGGGCCACACTCCCCACGCCCCCCGAAGATTCTGGGGAAATCCTTCCTTGCCTCTTGCAGCTTCTGGTGACTCCAGGCACTCCTGGGGCTTATTGCCGGATCACTCCAGTTTCTGTGTTGGTCTTCATGAAGCTTCTCCTCTACTATCTGTGTCCAATCGCCCTCTGCCTTTCTCTTGTGAGGACACTCGCTGTTGGGTTGAGGGGCTGCTTGGATAATCCAAAATGATCTCATCTTGAGAGCCTTCCCTTAATTACATCTGCAGAGACCCTTTGTTCAAATCAGCTCACATCCACAGGGCTCAGGTGGACATATCTTGGGCGGGGAAGGGGTGCATCATTCAACCCATTACACAGATCAAACGAGAAAACTGAGAACAGGGAAGTACGCGGCAGAGTTTGGACGGGGAGGTGTCCAGAGCTTTGTGATTGCCTGTTCCAGCGTGGAATGGTGGAGCCCCCTCCCTTGAGAACCCAGGTGACCTGTATGTCCTACACAAGGCTGTTAGAGGTTGTGTGTGCTGCCTACGTACTCCGGACATCCTCCACTTCGAAGATGGGAAGTCTTGAAAGGAGTTTTCCTTCTTCAACTGTTTTAAAGATTTTATTTATTTGAGAGAGAGAGAGCAGGGGGACGAGCAGAGGGAGAACAAGCAGACTCCATGCCGAGCACAGAGCCCCATGGGGGGCTTGATCTCATGACCCTGAGATCATGACCTGAGCAGAAACCAAGAGCGGGATGCCTAACTGACTGAGCCACCCAGGTGTCCCCCATTCTTCAACTGTTAACGTGGGGTCGAGGGACCTTCTCTTGCACAAAAACTCCAAACAGTCCCGCATCGGGCTCCCTGCTCGGCAGGGAGTCTGCTTCTCCCTCTGACCCTCCCCCCTCTCATGTGCTTGCTCTCTCTCGTTCTCTCTCTCTCAAATAAATAAAATAAAATCTTTAAAATAAAAAAGAATTAATAAAAAAAAAACTCCAAACAATAGTAAAAGCACTTTACAATAGTAAAGCAACAATAGTAAAAACACTCACACAGCACTTAATTATGCCAAACTCCATTCTAAGTGTTTATTTTTATTTTTTTAAAGATTTTATTTATTTATTTGAGAGAATGAGAGAGAGCCCAAGAGGGGGTAGGGTCAGAGGGAGAAGCAGACTCCCTCCTCAGGGAGCCTGATGCAGGACTCAATCCCGGGGACTCCGGGATCATGACCTGAGCCAAAAGCAGTCGATTAACCAACTGAGCCACCTAGGCACCCTAAGTCCCTAAGTGTTTAATATCTATTAGCTCACTTAATCCCCACAAAATCCCTATGAGTTCCTTTTATAGAAGAATAAACTGAGGTGCCAAGAGGTTGGAATTACAGGTTGGAAGTTACAGAGCCAATATTAGAACCCCGCAGTCTGGCTTCAGAGTCTACGGTCTTTTTTTTTTCTTTTTTTTTTAAGATTTTATTTATTTGTTTGACAGAGAGAGAGAGTACATGCACATGAGCAGAGGAGAGACAGAAGCAGACTCCCTGCTGAGCAGGGAGCCCGATGTGGGACTTGATCCCAGGACCCTGAGATCATGACCTGAGCCAAAGGCAGATGCTAAATTGACTGAGCCACCCAGGGGCCCCAGAGTCTAGGGTCTTGACTCTAAGCCAAGACACTGTCTCTTGGGGACACACTGTCATGTGTTAAATCTGGACTTTGATGGGAGCACCTGGATGGCTCAGTCAGTTAAGTGGCTGGCTCTTGATTTCAGCTCAGGTCATGATCTCGGGGTGGTGAGATCGAGCCCCATGTGGGGCTCCACATTTCAACACAAAGTCGGCTTGAGATTCTCTCTCTCCCTCTGCCCCTCCCCCTGCTCCCTCTCTCCCCTTCTCTCTCTCCCTCTCTCTCTGAAATAAATAAATAAATCTTCAGGGGCACCTGGGTGGTTCAGATGGTTAAGCATCTGCCTTCGGCTCAGGTCATGATCTCAGGGTCCTGGGATCAAGCCCTGTGCGTTGGGCTCCCTGCTCAGTGGGGAGTCAGCTTCTCCCTCTCCCTCTACCCCTCTCCTCCCTCTCTCTCTCTCTGTCAAATAAATATTTTTATTTATTTATTTGACAGAGAGAGACACAACTAGAGAGGGAACACAAGCAGGGGGAGTGGGAGAAGCAGGCTCCCAGCTGAGCAAGGAGCCAGATGTGGGCCTGGAACCCAGGACCCTGGGATCATGACCTGAGCCGAAGGCAGACGCTTAATGACTGAGCCACCAGGCGCCCCTTAAAAAATCTTTTAAAAAAATCTGGACTTCGGGGCACCTGGCTGGCTCATTCCGAAGGACATGTGACTCTTGATCTTGGGGTTGTGAGTTTGAGCCTCATGTTGGGTGTAGAGATTATTAAAAAAATAAACTTAAAAAATTGTGGATATTAAGTACACGTTGATATAATGTTTGCATATATTTGGTTAAATAATATACACAAACAGAATTATTTTCACCTGTTTCTTTTTACTTTTTTTTAGGGTGGCTACTAGAACATTCAAACTTAAACACGCGGCCTGCGTCGTATTTTTCACGGGCAGCTCTGGTCCATGGAATTTGCCCTCAGCACATTCTCCATCTGGGGCCACTGAACCTCGGGATTTCTTATGATCTGCTAGAATAATCCATGCCAGAAGCACCTTCAAGTGGAGTGACGGACACTCGTGTCAGAACGTGGCCTCTAAAGGATGTTCTGAAATCCTTGCTGCCATCAGGCCCAGATTGAGAGGATTTTCTGGCCACTCTGTATATAGAGTTTATTTTTTATTCATAAATTACCTAAGTGTGTGTCTCTACTGAAAATGCTATAAAATCAACTCTTACAAAGCTGAGATAAATACTCAACGTAACTGGACAAGTCAGGCTGCCTCAAGGTTGAGAATTCACGTCCTGACTCTGTCCCTTCCCTCGCTGTGATTCCTTTGGTAAGTCACTTGTCTTCACTGGGGCTCAGTTCCTTCATCCAGAAAGTGGGAATGTTTGTTTCTGGCCCTGAGGGGTATTGGGGGAACTCCGTGAGGTAAATGTGCAAGGCGGGGGTGGGGGTGGGGAGATGGCATGCCTGGATGGCTCCGTCTGTTAATGTCTGCCTTCGGCTCGGGTCATGATCCCAGGGTCCTGGGATCGAGCCCCACATCAGGCTCCCTGCTCAGTGGGGAGTCTGCTTCTCCCCTTCCTTCCAGCTCGTGCTCTCTCTCACTATCTCTGTCTCTCTCAAATTAATAAATAAATTAAATATTTTTTAAAAATAATAAAAGATAGGGCGCCTGGGTGGCTCAGTCGTTAAGCATCTGCCTTCGGCTCAGGTCGTGATCCCAGAGTCCTGGGATCGAGCCCCGCATCGGGCTCCCCGCACCACGGGGAAGCCTGCTTCTCCCTCTCCTACTCCCCCTGCTTGTGTTCCCTCTCTCACTATGTTTCTCTCTGTCAAATAATAAATAAAATCTTAAAAATAATAATAATAATAATAAAAGATAGAATGAAGAGGAGGGACAAGCTATGGGGGGAAACAGAAAGAAGGCATCCAGGATGAGGCCAGGCCTGTGGTCCAGGAGATGGGGTCAGTGGTGGGCCTATGCCTGAGCTGGGGACCCTGGAGGAGGAGGCACAGGGAGCTGCAGAGGTCAGGGTGAAATCCTGTGGGACATCCAAGAGGAGGCATCCAAGAGCTGCCAGACACTTGGATCTAGAGTGCAGAAGAGATGGCAGAGCTGAGAGCGGGAGGCTGTCAGAGCTCAGACAGGGCTGAAATCCTGACAGTGGGAGAAGGTGGAGGGTGCAGCAGGGTAACCTCACATCAGCCAGCCAGGACTGTGGGAAGTGGCCTGGCCCAGGAGAGCAGCCTCAGGCCCCAGGTTCTCATGTCGGTCTACGCCTTGGGGACATGGAGATGGGCAGATCCAGAGCCCACAGGAGTGCCCAATCAGTGGAAGTGCCCAGACTCACACAAGCAGTCCATGCCTCCATGGGGGAGGGGGGTGATGAATGCAGGCTCCAGGAAGTACAGAGATCTATTTCCAAGGACTAGGGACAGTGGAAGCATCAGGACCAGTTTCTGGAGAGGGCTTGGAGAGGGAAAGTGAATTAATCAGAAGTCTCTCAGCTTCAAGAGCAAACATGTTTAGGGAAATGTATTGTCTCACATTACAAAAGGAAAAAAAAAAAAAAAAAGGCCAAGGGGTCACACCAGCTTCAGCCACAGCTTGATCCAGGAGCTCAAATATGATATGAAGTCATTGTCCAATCTCAGGGTTCCATATTTCTCTGATTTTTTTTCTCTGGAGGACTTTCCTTGAGGTAGTAAACGTGGCCCCAGCAGCTTAGGGCTCACATCCCACCCTCTTAGTGACCCCAAAGGGAAGAAAGGTCTCCTGCCCAGGGGTTCCATTACTCACAAACTGGATTGGACCCCATGTTTACCCTTGAAACAAGCACTGTGATCAGAAGGCAGAAGAACTGGAATGCTCTGATTGGCTGGGCCTGGATCATGTTCCCTTTCCCAGAAAGGGAGAGTGGGGTGAGATAAACAGGTGTACTGAAATTTAGAAAGGGGTGGTTTCCCAAAGGACAAGCAGAGGCAGAAGGCTGGCAAAGCTACAGATGTCCATGTGGCTGGGAGAAATGGGAGGTGGGGAAATAGCTTCCTCACCTGTTAATAGAGCATGGGAATAGTACCTTATCTCTTAGGTCTAGAGAGAAGATTCAGTGAAATAATGCAGGTGAGGCATTTAGCAGACTTTTCTGCGAAGAACAGGCTAGGTGCTGAATAAATAGCACCTTTTTTTTTTTTTTTTTAAGATTTTAAGTAATCTCTACACCCAACGTGGGGCTGAACTTACAGCCTGAGATCAAGAGTCACACACTTATGGGAGCCAACCAGGCGCTCCTGCAGCTATAATTTTCAAAACAGTAATCAATATTACCACCGCTGAGGATGGACGGTACCTATATGCTGGGAGGTAATAAGCTCCCAGGCACTGGATGAGACCTAGAGTTGAACAATCATACACTGGAAGATCATGTAGTCTACATTCTGCAAGCTCAGTGCCCAACTGGTTTCTCTCCAGGCTGGGTTTTTTTTTAAGATTTTATTTATTTGACAGAGAGAGAGGGAACACAAGCAGGGGGAGTAGGAGAGGGAGAAGCAGGCTTCCCGCTGAGCAGAGAGCCTGATGTGGGGCTCGATCCCAGGACCCTGGGACCATGACCAGAGCCAAAGGCAGATGCTTAACAACTGAGCCACCCAAGCGCCCCCCTTTTTTTTTTCTTAAATAAAGATTTTTATTTATTTATTTGAGAGAGAGAGAGAACGAGCAGTGGGGAGGGGCAGAGGGAGAGAGGAAGAGAAGCAGACTCCCTGCTGAGCAGGAATCACCATTTGGGGCTCCATCCCAGGACACAGAGATTATGATCTGAACCGAAGGCAGCCGCTTAACTGACTAAGCCACCCAGGTGCCCTCTCTCCAGGCTTCTGCCTCCAGGTCTGTGAAATGGGATGAGGGGGTTGAATTAAAACACAAGGTCGGGTCACCTTGGTGGCTCAGTTGGCTAAGCGCCTGCCTTTGGCTGGGGTCATGATCCCAGAGTCCTGGGATCGAGTCCTGAATGGAGCTTTTTGCTCAGCGGGGAGCCTGCTTCTCCCTCTGTCTGCCACTCCCCCTGCTTGTGTTCTCTATCTCTGACAAATAAATAAATAAATAAATAAATAAATAAATAAATAAATAAATAAATAAAATCTTTAAAAAAAATAAAACACAAGGTCGTTTTAGATGCCCCTTCTCATCAGGTTGCAGCCATATCACTTCCTCAGAAAAAGGCCTTGCCTGACTACTCTTGCCAAAATATCCTCATTCATTCATTCATTCATTCATTCATTCATTCATTCATTCATTCAGGTAATCTCTATACCCAGTGTGGGGCTCAAACTCACCACCCTGAGGTCAAGAATCACATGCTCTACCTCCGACTGAGCCAGCCAGCCGCCCCATCCCCCTTTATTTTAATATATCATCCCATCTTACTTTCCTTACAGCACTTACTACAATCTGAAAACATCTTATTTACTTTCTGTCTCCCCATTAGAACATTAGCCTCACGAGGGCAGGACTCTCGGTCTGTCTTGTTCACTGCTCTGAGGCCCAGGTCACCCGCCACAGTGCCCGGCACACGGCCCACCCTTGATAAACATCCGTTGAATAACGAGATAAATACCACTTCTGAGAGGCAGTGAGTTCCCCATTAAGAGAGGTAGCCAGGCTGAAGCAGAGGGATCGTACCTCGCAATTCATGCTGCAAGGCCCCAACCCGGGTCCTCTCCAGCCTCAGTTTCCTCATTAATAAAATGGGTCCGCGGGCGGCTGGACCCCTGGCTCGGCTCCTGCCTGCGATCCCCGCGGGGGCCGCCAGGGGGCGCGGCGTCTCTGCCCAAAGCCCGCCTGCGGCCGCCCGAGCCCCGGTGGACGCGTCCCGACGTTCCTGGAACGTTCTGAGCCCCGGCGAGCGGAACCCGGGAGGCTCGAGCGGATGCGAGGCGTCCGGAGCCGGCGGGCCGGGCTCCTCGCCGCGCAGGGGGGCGGGCGGGAGGGAGGTGACTCAGGCGCGCGCCCCCGGCCCCCAGTTCTCGCGAGGGGGCGCGCACGGCCTCGGGAACCCGCGCGGCGCCGCGTCCATTTTTACCCGAGCGCCGCTAAAAATAGTCGCCGCGCTCGGAGCCGAGCCCGAAATAGCCGCCCCCAGATAAGGCAGGACGACTCAGCGCTTCCGGGGAGCGGAAGGGGAGGCAGCGGGGGGCGGAGGATGGTGCCGGGCTCCGCGGGGCCTCGCCGCGCAGTCCCGGCCGGTACCCGCCCCCCCGCCCTGGCCACCGCGCTGCCCCCAGCCTGTCCCCAGCCTGGCTTCACCCCCCCCCCACTGCCCCCCTCGCATTGCCCATCTCCTGTCCCCGTCCACCCTCAGCTTCCCCTCCATCCCTCATCCCTGACCGCTGGCCCTCCTCTCCCCTTCCCTCTCCCAATCTTCAGTCCCAGCCCTGCCCTGCGACCGTGTCCCCAACGGGTATTCATCCCCAGCCCTCAACCTGCCCGTCCCGGAGCCCTGGCCCTATTCTCCCTCAGCCACAGCACCGATCTGTTGCCTTTCTGAATCTGCCTCTGCCCCCCTCCCCATCCCGTTTCTCAGCCCAACTTCTGACGGGCAGGGGTGGGTTGCGGGGGAGATGGGGAGATCACAGGAAATCAGACAAGCTGAGTGTTGGTGGGGAGGCTCTTTGACTTCTTGGTTTGTTTCTACAGTGGACCCGGTAGGTTTAGGTCTGGGTCTGTGTCAGTTTCCTCAGCCGATGCCCAGCGTTAGGATTCAGGCTGGGGCCAAGACTCGGGTCTTCCGTCACCGATATTGGGGTCGTCAGAGTCAGGGCACAGCCCAGCACTCCCTGTTTTGTTCCCAATCCTAAATCCCCTACAGTTCTTTCCTCCTTTGCAAGTCAGTGATCGGACACAACAGCTCCAGGCCTGGGGACAGGGAGTAGGACAGCCAGAACCCTGCTTCCTCTGGGCCTAGGTGTCCCCTTTGCACTTGGATCCTCTAAGGCACCTTCCTATTCTGATATCCTGTGACTCTCAGTGTTTAGTCCAAGAATCAGCCTCAAGGAATCTTACACCGCATTTTCCAAAGGTTCAAAGCCAATACCGACATCTAGTCTCTGAAACATCATAGGACAGAGGAACTGCCTGTCCTGTGTGGCCCCGGGAAGCAGGGTGTAGTGGACAGATGTTGGTTCAGGCAGAACT